TGACTTTTTAGTCAACCTGATTAACTATTTATAAATGGGGTTGGGGATTAAAAAACCTGATAGTTCGCCCCGGGCGCCGGAAACGACTCTGTTAGCTCGGCCAACATTGTATTTCACTGACGAAGACCTTTGGGCGAAACTGCTTTAACTTCTGTTTTATTTATTGCATTCTTCGCCTTTTTCAACACACAGTGGAGCATAGGCTCTTTACATCCTTTTATATTTACTGCTCAACAACCACATAACCAAAGGCCCTGTGTTCCGACACTGGAAATCTTTGAAAAAAAAATAATTAACTAACTTCTGACCAACTACCCACTCCCTCCCCTTTTCAATTCACCTAACCGCTATTTATATTGTAGGAAAAAAAAACATAAGTTTGTGGTAGGTTCAGAGCTATGAATAGCGTTCCCATCCGTTAGGATCCTCACAATCTAAACCCAGCGAGAAATACAATTAGTTTCGGATCCTCTCGGCTCGAACACGGATAATTCGGAGATTTTTAATTTGTAATGATTTTTTTTTATCTCCGCTGCAAGAGAAGGGGCTTAGTCAGGCGGGCAGAGGGCGCTGTCTGATCGCTTAATGCCCGGGTACAAAAGTCGGGCCGGGCCGCCAGTCGCCATTTCTAGCTCGGCCCAGACCCTGTCATTGATAACGAGACGACCCGCTTGAAAGTAGAGTGGCGAAGGAGGGGAGGGCTGAAAATTAACGGAGATGCTTCAGACATACTAGTAATTAAGAAGTTGCTGTTGTGTTGTAATACATAGCATTCAAAGTTTTTAAAAATATGATTCTGCCCTAAGAAAGGAGAGAAGAACACCCTGTCATTAATACGTCACCGGCATTATACAAGGCAACGCTGGCTGATTGTGTTTGAGCCGATTCTGGTTTTGAGAAAAATAAAAAGCTTCTCGGTTTATCAACGAAAAAATTCACCTTTTCATTTCTAACCTTTTTTTTAGCTTTTAAAAAAAAAACGTCTTTGTGTATTCAAAGAAAGTCGCTTCGGGCATCAAATATTTTGTAGAATCTGAAGAATTACCTACTTGAAATTTAGGACGATATAATGCGACTCAAAATCTCAAGTTTTTTTTTTAATTAATCAACGGTACACCGCGTGATATTCATCGTTATGAAGCGATGAGTCAACGGTGTGTAAGATAGAGTTACCTGTGAAATACAAGAGAGCGAAATACACTTAGCTCAAATAATAGTACATTTCCAGTTGTTCTTTTTTAAATGTTTGTGTCAGGATTAGTGCCAGGCTTAGGGTTAAGTCGAGATCACGGTGAAGGTCAGGATTACAAACTGGGTTAGTGTTGTGAAAATGCTGGCGACTCAAGCTACAAATCTAGTAAAAACTGCTTTACACCTCCCCCTCCGCATGTCTTTAACTGTAATTTCTACTTGTTTCATAATCAGGATATTCTTATCTCCTTTTCAATTAAGTATCATAATCTGAGTATAACTTCTCAAGAGTATCAACACAACTTTATAAAACTAAATTCAAATTTCTGAAGGCGCACTAATTTGAGTTTAATCATATTTTAATCATGGAACTTTTTTTTTATAATTACGCGTTATGAAATCCAAAATATTTCATTTATCTTTTTTCCCCATTAATCCAAGAATAACTGGCTTTTGACTAGTTTATCTAGACGCTAATCTTTAGAATGGGGGATGGGGTATGGATGGACAATGTAAAGATCCTATCAAACCACGTGGGATGTCACGGTCCCCCGCGGCGTGCCAGTGTAGCCCTCCCTTTGTGTCGGCACCGCGGGACGAGTCTCATGTTCCCGACAGTGACGATCCCGATATAGACCCTGAATTGACAAAAGTGCATTCGGTTTTATTTATTTGTTGTCGTCTGCCCGTTATCTCATAGATGACCGTGACGGCCCGGCATCGACAGGGTTTGAAAAGTGGCAGCACGGCCTTTCCGGTTGACGGGCCGTGGTCGTGGAAGATTTCCCTGTAGTCATCGGTCTTGTATGATGTGCGTGAACACAACAGCGCTACTTGTGTTAGTCCAACCACATTGAGGCTGTGTTTATCTGTCAAGGTTTGGTGCAGATGTGCGTCTGGTGGTACCCGGGGAGGGGGGGGGTATAACAAGAGTAACCTTGATAATTGACCAGGTGTAGAAAGGTTTTTATGCTAGTAGCAAACGGTAGTGACTACGGGCTAGATTTTTTTTTTTAAAGAGCCATTGTGTTGACATCACACGTGTCTGTTACGCTATGAGAGCAAGGTGGGTGTGGGTAGGGGTGAGATAAATGATAAATCAAAATAGCAGCTGCAAATATGGAGCTACCAGAGGCGTAGCGAACTTCCCGGCGCATGGGAACAAACTTCAAATTGGACGTGTTCCCCCCCCCCCCCCCCATATATTTTTATATTTATAATGCAAAACTGCACCTAAAATGAGCTTTTAATTTTTTTTTCAAACCCATTTTGGCGACCCCTAAGGTCGTCGCCCGGGGACATATGTACACCCCCTCGCTACGCCTATGGGAGCTACAGCTACAATTGTAGAAAGCACTGATGTACTGATATTTATTTATATATAGTATTATATACGGTATGCCTATTTCATATACTAAACTAGAAAATATTTTTAAATCCTTTAAAATCAGTGAAGACGAATAGAGTTTGTGATAGGTGACAATGACCTATGGTCAAAAGATTTCCTTGATGAGGGAAGGGAGCTAACAATATCTGTTTTGTAGATAGAAGGTATTGAGTACAATTTCTTCAAATTCAGTAAACGATGTTAGGTTAAATATTGTAGGTCTGTTTTGTCTGACAAGATTAATTGGATGAAACTTTTCTGTATACAATATTTTCGTTATCACTTGTGTGGAATTCCTAATTACTTTCGAGCGGCATAACATTAACAGGGGCATACTCTTTGAGTTTGTGGGTCCGGACCGTAAAATCTAAGGGACACAACCTGATAAAAAGTAGATTCTTTATAAATATCTAATAGCTTCCCCTTTTTTAAAATTTTAAACAGCATGGACAACTCTTCCAATAAAATTTTTGACTACCTGCATTAGCAATGTAAACAGAAAGTGTTATTTCAACGCCAAGGGTAGACAAAGGTACAGAATATAGTCCAAGTAAAGACAGAACAGACAGACCCGACGTGTTCCGAACCTACCATTCCACACGGCACCAAATCGCCTCGCCTTCCACTTCCATGCATCAAGTCAGACGTGTAACCACTTCTGCCAATCAGCTCTACAAAAATAAAGCTTTCATGGCAGAGCACAATCACAACCTATGCACGAAAGACGCGGGCTGGCGTGACCTTTGAACCGCGAAATGGAACTGACCGTTAGCCTCAAACACAACAAGGACCATTATTCGACAAAAAGGCGACACAAGTATAGGTACGACGATACAGACAAATAGTAGCTTCCACCCCTCACCATGACTACCTGCATTGAGATCATACCAAAACAGCATATATTTATAACTTTATTAAAGCACAGATATTTTAAGAACAAAATTACTACTTAAATTAATTACTGGATGGTAGTCATTAACCCTCCCCGTACTATCTTTATTTTATAAAAATTATATTTTAAGAAATGAACAAGCACAAAGAATTTTGCATTATTTTATTACATTTGTTTAGCCATTTAGAACACACAAGTAAACTTTTTAGAAACATTATAATGAAGGGGAAATAATTCAGTTCAAATTTTAAACCATTTATTTCAACACAAGCACCTAAAAATTTCATTTCTTGATATCAGTTTCAGATTATTTTTTCTTAATTTATCATTACCACATAAATGCTACAAATATTCTAAATTACAAACTACTATTACAGTTAACTACATAACATAAACTTACTGATCTCAATAATTTTTTTATCAACTGATAAACCTCTTTTTTATTCTGGTGTTGTTTTTTTCATCTTACCTTACTTCTAAATTGTGTGATGGGTACTCATAAAAAGAATTCTACCATAAAAAAAATCCAGTATTTTTAAAAAGTAAAATTAAGTCACATGACAGGTGTAGAGTCCACCTGTTTCATTGACTTCAGCATAATTTTATCAAGGGCTAGTGTGGTCAGCAGCACGACGGCTAGCTGCCTTTACTTTCCGCAACGTGAGTCTGATATTCATCAGAGCTGAGTGCTCCAACAGACTCGAGCCCATTATCTGAACTCCTATGGGGTTAGCAGTCAACCATCCAACCACCTCATCCCATAATCTAGCACATGAATTATAACATAGATCATTGTCACCATTACACCACCAATGTGATTTGCAAAAAACCATAACACCCATAAAACTGAGTGAAAGTGTGTGCAATAAATGTTTTAAATGCAATTAAAAGGTTAAGCAATTATTATGTCAAAACAAATAAAATAGAAATGAAAACATTTTTATCACAATTAATCGAAGGCCACCTTTTGGTTTTCAATTGTAACATCTTCTAAATTAACAGGGCAGATGAAGCTAGTTTAAACAAATGTATGGAATACAATTTTACATCATTGTGATGCACCATTGCTAACAATTTATTTGAAAATGTCTTGCTGCCAAGTTGCCTACTCACAAAGTTATCCAACATTTTAAAACAACTTACAGTTAATTGACAAAAGAAACCATTTTAAAATTGTAACATACATATAGGCTTATCATTAGATTACTTATACACAGTAAAATTTATTAATGACATAATAATTTATTTTGTAATGCAAATAATCTCTGTTTTAGAGAAAAAAAACACAATTTTAATTTTCTTTCAAGATTTCTTTTCAAATATCTCACATTTATAATGAATATTTTTTATGTTACAATGTAAATATTATTTAACTTAAATAATATGAATTACTTCAGTATCTATCACTAAATGCATATATATTTTGAAATGTATGTTCTTTTGAACTGATTTTAGTAAAATATAAGTTTATAGTTATTAGTATACAATTTATCATTAAAACTTAAAAAGACTAGAAATATAAAGAATTTGTTGTGCATAATACAATTTACAAATTAATATCAGAAAAGATTAAGCTAAGAACTTCTACTGCCCATGAAATTTTTATATTTCCAGCAACCTAACATTTTAATACAATCAATCCCCATCCATATTTTGCTTTGAATCAAGTCCAAAAAAGATGTTAAATATATGAGCACAGTTGTGCTGCTCCAAGTATTTACTAAATTGGCCTAGATCCATGTGGTATTCACGGCCCTTACCTCCCCTGGCATCTAGTACCAGCTCAAAGAAGGGGTCAAACTTGTAAACTTTTGAGATGTCTTCAGGTTTTTCAGGCATTGGAATTTCCTGGGGAATTCAGGTAACTCAAATAATATTTTTACTGGAATTTCCTAGGGAATTCAAATATTTCAAATAACAATGATAATGTAATTATTTACACACAATCAAATGTCCACAAATAAAATGAGGTCATATGTTAAAGGTCCCATGTTAGCAATATTTTTTTGCTGATAAAATGTGCTAAGGATGTGGGTGTAGGATTACACTTTAAGTGTTTAAACATATTTAACATGTATCAGCCAGTTAAATCTAAATTAACAGTAGAAAATATCTAATAATTTTACAACAAACAGTTAAAAGATATTAAATGGGTCATTTCTTTTTTTTTTTTAAATTTTTTTAGGTCTTTAAAAAAAAACGTTCTTCTAATAATTTTCATAACTTAATAAAATGAAATACATACATATACATGTAAACAATAAACTGACAATGAACTCAGGAACCAACCTCCTGCTCTGTGATGCCTATTTTTTTCCATGACATGCGTCTGACTCTGTGCCAGAATTCTTCCACATCACAACTGAAGCCCTCAGCACAAATAATCCCTGGCTTTCCTGGCATACTGAACCCATGCAACTTCAGCTCCTTGCCCCAGTCTTGTATTTCCTGGCGCTTCGCCTTGCTGTAAATGTGATGGCTGTAAATCCACATCCTTGACATTGTATCTCTGTAAGGACATTTAAGTCAACAGAACATGTTAAAGAACTTAAAACTTAGCCAATATCTATGACTGAAATAGTATTAATTTAATTGGTCTAAGGTAAGTAGTTTTATTTATCAATTTAACACAATTTCATGTATTAATATTTAATTTAAATACAAGTTGTAACAGCCATGAAAAAATGCATTAAGATAGATGCTTTATTTAGATGAAAGCACCAAATCAGAGAGAGAAGGAGATAGAGGGGTTGCAGTTGGAGTCAAATGTCATTTAAATCATTGAGATTAAGGGAAAAGTTCGTTTTTAACCCTGCTGTTGGATTTTAATGTCATCTAGAAGACCCCTAAAGAAAAATGTCATTAATACCCTGCAACTGAAGCTAAACATCTGTCATTTATACAACCTTAATGTGATTAGAGTCAAATGTCACTCACACCCGACAACTCTCAACCATTCTATCATGTTGTATATAAAATTAGCTACAAATATGACAATCTACAGTCACATTTAAAAACATTTCAACCAACCTTCCAGGCCCAGCAACTTTTTTATCATTTTTGCCATCTGAAGTGGAGAAGTCACTCAAGTGCTGTAACTCTGTGTATAGCCTTTCTCTTAACCACTCCACAAGAATTCCAATACCTATCTCCCCTTCTTGTAAATTTTCAAGTTCTGAAAAACAAATTGTGTTAAAAAAATATTTTTAAAGCCTAATGAAATGTAGGTATATTTGTTTTTAACTTATTAATTCAATATTGAGACATATTTTGATGAAATATAAAATTTTATCTGTTTATGTCAGATGTGAAAGTGTCAAGCACTGTCATTGTCACAGAAAATAGCGTCACATTAGTCAATGTCATATGTTTCCAATTCACCCAGATTTAGCGCTGAAACTCAGAGCTCACCTTTGTTTAAGTCTTCTCTTAACTTTTTGTGTCTTTCCCTGCATATATCTGGTGCCCTAACAAATATCTGGGGCTTCACAAATGGGTACTCATGTGGGAGATCACAAACCAGCTCGACTTGCAGGCTCTGTGAAATTTCATTATAGCAGCATATTGCAAGAAATTGCTTATTTTTTTAGGGACAGCATAGTCAAGCAGTAGGACATACAACTGCGCACCCAAAAATCTCAAACTCAGCTCATGACTAAAGCCGGTGGTAAACTCAGCTCTGATGGGTACCTGGCATGAATCAGGGAAAGTAAATATAATGACTACACCATCCTTCATATGCTAAGGTCAGAGAAACAGATGTACTTTACTTTCCTGCCACACAAACACTTGGTCTAAAACGGTACTTTACTTTTTTTACTATAACTTATTTATTTCTAGATGTAGTGAAATGTTTGCAAGACATGTTCCAATGATGACTATTATTACTATCTTGTTGAAATTAGCTGCTAAATTGGATGATAAAGGCCTACTTGATTGGGATGTAAAATTTAATTAAAAATTTAATACTGTCTGGGAGGGCATTCCCTGTAGCAATACAAGTAGACACAGACCAACACTAGTTGTTGAGGTTAGGGTGCACTAAGTCAGTTTAATATCATCTATATCATCCCTGTTCTCAGTCACAAACACGCTTCCTCCTCGTTCTAACAGCAACCTCTGACTGCCATGCCCTTATTTCCGTCCACAACACACCTGCTGTCACTAGACCATTCGCTTCCCTTGCTACCCTCGATTACTATGTACAACACACATGTCAACAAACCCAAACACAACACTGCCATGCAACACAACAGTAAGTTGTACTGACTCACACATACAGCACTCCATCCCATATATCATCATCTTTTCCTGTTTGTACCCAAGACACACGGGGCAGAGGAGGTAGAGTTCATCTGTTTCAATGACCTCGGCATACAAGAGGATCATGTGGCCAGCTTAAGCAAAGCCACCATTGTTTACCTAATCAGGTACACATCTGAGTTGGGTGGACTAGGGACAATCTGCTGATCTGAACCCGGATTCCAACTCAAGACTGTGGGGTTAGCAGTATAGCTCTCTACCGCTAGGCCAGATCGCACATATACACCTCTCTTACATTTCACATCAACACACTGACAATATAGTTTTCAACTAGCAAAAACAAAATAGAAAGACTATACTAGATTGTTATAACTATTTAAACAAAATATTTTTACCGCCCGGGCAAGTGATGAGGATGTTTACCTTGTTCTCATTCTGCACTGAGATTTTCACCATAAACCCCAGCCTGTTCTCCAAGTCTTCCAACTCCAGATCACCAGAAACAACAGCTTTAACAACCTCAAGTGTAGTCGGGTCATCCAACACAAACTCCCCTGGACTTGGGTACATGGATGTCAACATTTCCACCTACATGCCAATTTTTTTATAAATGTTCAAAACAATACAGCAGTCGGCATAATAAATGATTAATTTATACTTTAGCTGCCTAGGTTCCTTTATAACACCCATAACGGCAATTAGACAAATAAATAGAAATTTAAAAACAGACTGGAATCAGAAATGTAAAAATTTTACCCATCTGGCTAAATTCATTAACAATGTATGAAATAAATACTATATATGAAACGTATATATCATACAAAAGCTTCAATAATAATTTTAGTTTAATTTCTACAAAAGTTGACATATGAGCTATCTCTTTTTTGATTTACAAGTAGTAAAGAGTTCTCAAATTTTAAGATTAATTGAACCTTGACAGGTGTAGGGGAGGTAACACCAGATATACTCAAAAAGTTAGTAAAAGATGGGGGAAATCTTACCTCAGCCAACTGAAGTTCTAAACCTTCCAAACATTTTGAGCTTGTCATTGTTACCCTTTATCATCTGTTGCTTGTTGTATTCCTCAACATTTTGCAGGAGAAAGGATTCCCTAAGAAATGTAAAAAATCAGTTACAAACAAATGAAGTTCAAGTGCAGTATTGTGGCTGATTAGGGGTTGCTGATGTAAGTTCTGTTTGCAAGTCCAACAACACATCACTAGTGTACTGAGTTCTCTGAGACATCTGTTAAACTATGTGACACATCAGAGGTTTGAGTTCAACACTGATAAGATAAGCCTGTAAAGCTACAGAGTAATCCTATCATAGTCTTATCAGTTTATACTGGCATAAGTGGGACTAATGCAGGTTCTAATTCTCAGATTAGGCTGATCATCAAAAGTTCTATTGTTCACAAATTTTCAACTTAACTTTAAAAGATATTTCTTCTTTTTTAAGTTTGAAATGGAGAATACTGTAGTTTCAAACAAATGTTTTATCATGGAAGTATTTTTATAAGCTATTTTACACTCTTATTTAATAAACTTGTAATAAAAATATAACTTTAAAGAATCATTAAAATAATATCATGTAAATGCAGCAATATAACACCTAGTAATGGTTCATAATTTATATTTTAAAAAAGAAAGTGGATTTTTTTACTGAAGCAAATAATTTTTTTTTCTTAAAAAAGTAACAGTAATTATACAATTTTATTTAAAAGAGGGGGTGAAGAATATTAAAGTGTGAGTAAGTAGATAAAGTATTTTTTAAAAATATTTAATTTCACATAATAGCAAATTCAAACGTGCATCATATGAGATATCATTTTATTCTCTTTTAGCATATCCATTTTGCAACCAAATTTGCTTACATAATTTGAAAATTGAAACCTTATATTTTCTTCAATAGCTGAACAAAATGTTATAGCTGCAATGTAGAACAGAAATGAACCATAGATCAAATTGTGTTGCAATGTAAAAATGCTAGAAGAGAAGAAAATAATATTGCAGAATAATATACTTTATAGAGTTGGTATTGGTTTTAATGTAAGAGATTGCCCACATTTTTTTAGAACAGAAAAATGTTACAAAATGATGCATTGAAATTAATAGTCAATGCAAATCTACCCATATCAGTAGCATATAAATTTAACACAAAGCTAAATAAATTATAAAAATGCTAACAAACATTTGTAAGAAAACATTTCAGATCTACCAGATGCAAATTTGAAAGCAAAAGAAAAACTACTTTTTATCTTTTGATAAACTTTACTTTGATAGGAAAAATGTACGGGCCTATATACAATAGCAGAGAGATTTTCATTTTAAAGTATTTGCAAAGCTGTAAAATTCTTGTTGATGTATAAATAAAAAATTGAAAGATAAGTTTTTTATTTGACTGTGTACTGTAAGTTTCATTTCAACAATCCATTGTTTATACTTTAATTAGTAATGTTTTTAGAAGTGGGTACTAAAATTATAAAATGCTTAGGACATCCAAGGGAATTAATCTGACTATAGACATTTATGGCAAACAAAGGAAGATAAAAGCAACTAAGAGATGATAGCTTAATTTAATGTTGATCAATAATACATAAAACGACAGCCACTAGATTGATAACCTAACGCAAGAATGAATAAGGCTATTATTTAACTAATGTAACCTAGAATCTAGATTCTATACATTAGAATTAAAATAATAATTGATCACATTGGAATTACCAATTTTGTTATATAGACCCTACATGGGCCAACAGTATACATTATAAAACTGAGCTAAAAACAATACTAATCATTACAAAGGTCCAAAGGCCTCAAAGGCCTGAGCAACCTCAGCCAGGACTGGGTATCTTGGCCAAATTCTAAATGGATAGTCATAACAGTAATTTAAATTTGATATGGATACACCGATATAGTCACTCCATAACTAAGCAAATAATATAACCAATTTGAAATATTTAAGATGAGAATTAGAATGAAATACACTTAATACTATATTACAGCATAGATCTAGATTGGATTTGAACATTGAATCATAAAGACTGACTTTAGCAAACTAAAGACTTTAATAAGCATAGAATGAATAGACCATATTACTATTTGTTAGTATGCCCACATAAATGTTAAATATTAGAAATATTAAATAGGCTAGGCCTATTAAATAACTGTTTCAGATATTGGCATTGGGCATTGATACTTTGATAAACCCTCTAGCAACTCTAGCTAGATTTCTAGATCTGTTCTAGCTAGATAGATATTTTGAATAATTTTCAAACACAAGCCTTACTAATAATATAGATTATGATATCTTAATTACTTTTCATATTTTAACTTTTTATGACTTAGATCTAATCTAGATCTAAATTGGGGGTGGGGGTGGATTGGGGGGGATCGACCAATTTTTTTGGAAGTTAGGCTAGTTGTGTCTAGTCTAGTCACTCTAACTTTGTAACTGATTTTAACTAAAATGATAAAATCATTTTGGTTTATTAACCTATGGTTACGTATTTATGTGGGTTTGAAAAGCTCTTAGTGTGATACATTGAGTACTCATTAGGTCTCATTACTTTTAAGTACAAGTAAAATTTCAGTACAAATGTGCAACATGATGATGCAAGCATTCATGGGATTACTACGCAGACATTTCCCGATATTTCTAGGCTAGGCCAATGCATATTTTTAGCCCCCACGTAAATCCGGTTATACTTTTTAAGATGATTAGTATAATATTTCGCATTTGTATTTTTAGAACAATGTAATAACGAATTCTAGAAAAAGCTTATCCATTATGCTTTGCTTTAAATATTTCTATCACGATATCAGTTATAATATTTAAACTTGGCTATGTTTTAAGTATGTTATTATAATATCATATTTATGCTAGACTGAGCTGCTACCAGTCGTCTATAAATGATGTTACGTTTCTTTTTAAAATAGGCTTTAACCACCAGTACTCCCCCCAATACACATACCCATCACGTCCATGTATCGAGAAAAAGCCCTACAACACTACCACAAAATACAATTTTAGAGGTTTTGGCAAAAACAGGAATTACAACTTATTTTGAAGCCTTTTTCCTTGTTGAATTTTTTTTTAATTATTTTTTTTTTAAATTGCAATTTTGAAATTTAAAAAATTTGAACTTTTCTTAGTGAAGTAGAAAGGATTTTGTCATAGGGGTGTTTGTAATTATTCCACAAATGCTTATATAATATATATATATATATATATATATATATATATATATATATATATATATATATATATATATGGGCATATAACACGTGAGATTTCATTTTGAATATCCGTGGCGAGAAGGGGAGTTAAACCCCAAACACACCCCTCCCTACGCCTTTGCTATATCTGGACCCAAGTCAATGTGTCTTTTACAAACGAATGGCTGTTAAATTTTAAAAACAAGTGCATCTGTAGCAGAAAGATGATGTCTTTTTAAGGCGGGGCGGGGGGGGGGGGCGGTAATTGTTTTATCAAGAGCAGAGGCGTAGCGAGGGGGAGACGGGGGTGCGGACCGCACCGGGTGGCACCATTTAGGGGGGTGACACCAAGACAAAAATAGCAAAATATATAGAGAAAAACTTGAGGGGGGGTGCAAATCAAAAGTTTAAGAGGGGGGGTGCAAATCGGAAGTTTGAGGGGGGTGGGGTGCAAATCGCTACGACTCTGGGGGGGGGGTGACACCATTAAGTGCCGCACCGGGTGACACCCGACCTCGCTACGCCACTGATCAAGAGGACCCTACGGATCTTAAAAAACCGTGGCGTCATTTATAGACGACTCAGTTGGACATATAGTGTGGATTGAATTAAGTCATACATACATCAATTATAGATAAATTTTACTCAAAAAATAAACCGGGAGCGATCTCCCCTAAACTTTCTTGAGTATTCTTTTATAAAAAAAACAGGGAATAGGAACTCGGGATAAAGACATGAATTTTAATCCATTTTAAATACTTAAACTTTTTAAAATAGAATAAAATCTCGTAGAAAAAAGAATTGCACACCTGTGAACGCCAAATAAAACGTGCATAATAGTGCGGAATATTATTAGTACTTTATAAATTTACATTCGTTTTTTGAGAAATCGGAAATAGCGTAAATTAGTACTTTCAATCAACGGAAGTTACTCAAAATTTGACAGAAGGTGGAGAATTAGATCTTTTACTTACATGTGAAATTTCATTTATCTATCTGAAATAGTACGCAAGTTATAGGCTTTTTTAAAAATTCAAAGTAGAAAAGTACCACTTCCGGTTATAGGAAATCGCTCAAAAGATTATCAGGATCTACGATTTTAATAGAATACTTATATATGAAATTTCATAAACCTAGCTGTAACGGTACTCAAGTTATCGTGTTTACACAAAGACACACACACACACACACAGACATACGGACAGAATTGCAAAGTCCAGTTTTTACGACTCGATAACGCATAAAACGCCAAAATGTTTATATATTTGTATTTATAATTTTTGCCTGATTAAAATAAGTCCTCTATACTCCGGATGTGATGAAGGACTGAGGAGTAAAACGGTGAAAACTGTCAAAATTTCATGTTATTTTTGTGCACGATTACAATACTTTCTCTACACTTCGTATATACGAGAAAGTAAAAAAGAGCTGGAGGGGAGGGGGGGGTCGGTCCGCACAGGGTGACACCCGGTGACAAAAAATCGTAAAATGTACCATGTTTTATCAGTTTAAAATAATTAAAATAGTAGAGGGACATGGGCGACACCTAATCAAAAATGCTAAATTGTTATAAAAGGGTGGGGTAACAGTTACCGCACCGGGTCCTACCTAGTGACGCCACTGTTTAGGACTATTGCGTCGTCTTGATCTGCGTCAGTGTAATCCAGGACATAAGCTGGGTGGACGGACGCCATCTTGATATCCGACCGGATAAGATATATTCTATGGACTATGATAGGGGCTGCACCAGCATGATGCATCAGAGCCTCTAATGCAGTGGTTCTTTACCCGTGTTCGATCGAACCCCATGGGTTCAGCGAGTCCGTCTCAGGGGTTCGACAAAGGTTAAAACGCACTTGACTTGTTTTAGTCCTCTTTGCTCCTTATGGAATATAGGACCTCAACCATTTCCTTCCATTTCATCCGATCCCCGGCTATTAATTTTGCCGTCTCCCATGACATCCCTGTTGGCTTCAGTTCTTCAAGAAGACCCCCGCCTCCAGGTCTGTCTTGGGCGTCCTCTCTTCTACTTTCCCTGGGGGTTCCACTCAAGCGACCGGCTTGTCGCATTTTGGTGAGCCTTTTGTAGCGTGTGTCCCCCCGTCCCACCCAGCGCCACTTCCTCCTTCTTATTTGCACACCCATAGGCTCCTGCCTTGCTTTTGTTAAAACGCACACCCGACTCATATGATTCACGATCCGATTGTGTCAGTGCGGAGGATAAAACAGTTAAGAATGGTTCGGTGAAACTGGTGGGGGTTCGGTACTTCTAAAAAGATAAGAACCACTGTTTTCGTGATAATGGTCACGTTAAATCGCACCGTCAAACAGGAGTGGATTAGGCCGCTGCGACACCGTGGAAAATCCCGGAGGGCGCTAGGAAAATGTCCCGGTGTGTCGTTGTAATGGGCTTATTTTATTAATGTTACGATTATTTATTTTTTTAAATGTGTTTAATTATTTGTAAAGTGAACCTTGGCTTTAGGCATCGGTCCTTAAGTTTGAGTGATACAAAAATGTAAGTCGGGAGGGGCCGCTTTTATTTATTTCCCAGGCCGCTCGGACACCGCCAGTCCACCCCTCCCGTCAAAGGCCCCTACAAAGTTTTCTCCCGTTAATTAGCTCTCCATCCCCATCCTATGTCAATAATGCCCTATCTAAAGTGCGAGTTATCTCCCGGTATGACCAGCGACAATATGGCTCTCGTCATGAAGACAGACAGAAATAATCATTGCCACAAGGATGTTCGAGAGGAACTCACTGCGGAAGTCATCATGTCACTACACCAGGCTCTTGATGAACGCTAAGTTCCTAATGTAAATTAAGCTATCACATACTAAGCTCCTGATATAGGCTATATTAAGCTCCAGTGTACATAAACTTCTGCCGTACATTAAGTTCTTGCCTTTATTTAATCTAACTTTTGATAGGAGATATCTATATTTGCGGAGGGTCAATATATTAGGAATCATATTCTTGGGAGCTAGTTTTTAGGGTGGGGGAGGGGGATATAACAGGGTAGTTTATCCAGGGGACATTATGTTACCCGCGCATTATTACTTAAGAATAGTATCAATTTTCAAATTAGAAAAAAAAATGCATTGTGTTATTGTTTTACCCTCTTCACTTATCGTAACATGCCCCACACTGATGACGCCTCTGCTAATATGCACTATAGTAAATATACTCTAAACGCCGGCATAGGCTATATAGTGCTAATAAGGGTGTCTCTCAAGTGTATTTTAAGGTCGACTCGAACAGGCAAAATCCGCAATAGCTTATTGAAGTTAACACCATTTCCGACTCTATGGATCAACAGAAAGCGCTGGTTTTCTATAGATACTGGGTTGTTGTTGTTTTTTTTTAAATATTACCTCCGGAATTTAGGAGTCACTCACAAAGGGCAGTGTTTCTTTCAGACTTTTTTTCTCGGGAGGAGGGGCACTTGAAAATTTTGGGAGGGGGCGGGGCGGACACTATATATTTTCTATATAAATTCTACTTCGTTCGGGGGTTGTAGGTTAGAAATGCCTGAAAGAAACAACGAAGGGAGGACTTACAAGTCTTTACCATGTGACAAGTGTAAAGTGCGCAGTATTTTTTCTAGACTATTTTCTCCGGGGGGGGGGGGGATATGATATTTTCGGTGGGGTGGACTTTATTTTCCGAGAGGGGGCGGACACTGGTAAAAGTATATGTTTTCTATATAAATTCCTTCCAGAAATTATGAAAGTGGGGAGTTCAGATTTTTAATGACGTGTATCAAAAATGATGGGGGGGGGGGGGGGAGGGGAGGGGGGGGGGGGGAATCATGTGTCGTCATTCATTAGTTATTTTGAGAATTTAGTTTGATCGACCTGGATCGGTTATTTTTTCAATTATTTTATTTCAATAACACAAAAGGAAAGATGTGTTCTTTTTCTTTCATTCGGTGTACGTCGGTGGGTTGCTCGTGATTTTCTAGTTTAACTAGCTTGACAACATTGTGCTTGTCTGTAGGAGTTTGCAATACTTCATGGCACAATCAAAAGACCTAACAATTTTTGAGAACATTTTCTGAAGCTTATTTAATTACTTTTGATAAAGGCATTGAAAACAATGCGCTTGCTGCTAACTTTGGTTGTCTTTTACTAGAAGTTACATAATTTTACTGAGAAAATGATTTAAAACTAAATAGAGCAATAGACCCTAAAATTAATTTGTCGGCTAAAGAAAAGAAAAAAATGATAATGACTAAAAATGCCAATCTAGCCTTTCGTGATGCAACAAAAAGTAACTAATAACACCTCTGATTCCTTTGTTTTGCCAGTAAAGATTTCCTGTTATTCATTTAGTTTTTACTTTCTCGTATATACGTAGTATAGAGAAAGTATTGTAATCGTGCAAAAAAAAAAAAATCGAGATTTTTACAAATCTCGACGTTTTACACCTCACTGATACGGAAAAACATAATTTTGCAATCTTGTCCGTATGTCTGTGTGTGTGTGTGTCTGTCTGTCTGTCCGTGTGTAAACACGATAACTTGAGTACCGTTACAGCTAGGTTGATGAAATTTCATATATAAGTATTTTATCAAAATCGTAGATCCGTATCAACATTTGAGCGATTTCCGATAACCGGAAGTGGTACTTTTCCTACTTTGAATTTTTCAAAAGCCTATAACTTGAGTACTATTTCAGATAGATAAATGAAATTTCACATGTAAGTAAAAGATCTAATTCTCTACCTTCTGTTAAATTTTGAGTAATTTCCGTTGACTGGAAGTAGTAATTTACGCTACTTCCGATTTCTCAAAAAACTAATGTAAATTTTTAAAGTACTAATAATATTGCGCACTATTATACGCGTTTTTATTCGGCGTTTGCTTGGTGCGCAATGTTTTTTTTATGAGATTCTATTCTATTTTTAAAAGTTTAAGTATTTAAAATGGATTAAAAATCATAACTATATCCCCAGTTACCATCCCCTGTTGTTTTATATAAGAATATTCGAGAAAGTTTAGGGGAGATCACTACCGGTTTATTTTCTGTCATGTTTTTACTGATTGTTACTAAAGACTTTTCCAACCTGAGCATTTTACACTTGCCCTGAGCAGTTCTTGCTTTATAATGCCGGGGATTTGTATGTAATGCCTATGAAAAGTATAAAACAACGCCGATATCTCATACCTTGCCTGAAAACGAAATGGATTGTATACATTGCCAAGGTATTCTATAGTATGCCGGATTTTCATACCTTGCCGGTAACATAATGTATATGATAAAAAATAGTGGGGTCGACCGTAGAAGTGAAGTTTTAAGTCAGTTTTTGTGTTTTGTCGCTGTTCGATGTAATATTTTGTTTAGGGTCGCTACGCCTCTCCCCGGTCGACATCATATGATGTTATAATCTTGTTTTTTAGGTTTAGACTAGTTTTAGAATTAGTTTTTCCTGATCCGGTAAATCAATAGTTATGATCAATAGTTATAATCTTGTCTTTATCTATAGAATTTAGTTTTTGCTAAATTGCCCCCTCCCATTTCCGATATTTTTTTACGCGTATTTAATTTTGTACAGATTTTATTGGTTTATTACAAATTTTTTTTTTCAAATCTTAAATAGCTTTTGCTTCCTGAAGACGGACTGGGTAAGATCTAAAATGCACTTCAGTCCCACACGGATAGTTGACTTTTCAGTTCGCCAGGACAAAAAAAAACACTTGCCACATAACTATCATAACATTGAAATAACTGTCGGCAAAGATTGGTGAACACTTTCAGTTTTATATTAAAAAAAGTCAACCTGCATTGAATTAGCGACAGGCTGAGCTTATAACCATTGAATGGTAGGGTGTCACACTCACACTTTAACTTGGTATTTTCTGACACACCCTTAGAGTTTCTTCCAGGCATCTCCGGGGGGGGGGGGGGGGGGAAACGAAATGGAATTTATATAGAAAATATAATATACTTTACCTGTGTCCGAAGTCGGTCATTATGTTGGACTATATGAAATTTAGTAGAACTGTCGATCAACAATAAATTAAACATACATTTGGAAACATACAAATATTAAATATAGATCTATTAATTTTAAATTAATATTTTATCAATTTTAAAGACAATGCTAGTTCGCGTTAATGCTACAAATACCTTAACAACCTTTACCGTTTTCTGGGGTCTTAAACCCAGTGTTTCTTCCAAACTTTTTTCTTCGGGGGTGGGGGGGGGGGGGGGGGGGAAGCTGAAATTAAATTTTCGGGGGGAGGGTGACGGACACTGGTAAAAGTATATGTTTTCAATTCTTTTTTGTTCGGGGGGGGAGAAGACATTCTTCGCCTCCTCCCGACTCCCCCCCCCCCCCCCCCCCCAGAAGAGATGCCTAGAAGGAACTCTGCTTAAACCTATTGAAAGCGGCCAATGGCTCGTTAGAACCTGAGGACGTTAACAATAACAAAGCCTGCAGTGGAGAAAATGGGAGTTGACGAGTTGCGCTCTGAGGTTCACCAGAGGACAAGCTGACTACTGCTGCTCTCGAGGGTTCAAGCGAGGGCGGAAGATGTTACGAGGTATTAACGGTATCGGACAGTTAGGCTTTCCCCGTGCGAACCGCAAAATATTACAGGCGTAACTATTGGTTCTCTCCCCCCCCCCCCCCTTCAATGCTCTTTTAGTTCTCAGCGTAATACATGCGGGTAACATTCAACAATAAAGTTAACGAGTTTGCAATAAAAATTTATTTTATTGAGAGCAAAACTGATGAAAAAATTAAAATAGCGTAAGTTTCTATTTAAAGTAGATTTAGTAGGTTTAATTTAGTATAACAGAAACACATTGTTTACTCAAAATCTTCTGTATATTATGTAACTTACATTATTTTTTGTAAATAAAAATAACGGCTTTGTAAGTATTCCACATCAGTTACTAATAAATACGTTTTAAAACATTATACGGCTATACGGATAATGAGTTCTATGACTATGTCACACCATGATTTCTCCAAATTATTGATTAATTTTATTCATTAATTAATTTAGCTAATGTATCTAAAAATGGAAAAAAAAAGCCGACATCCAACGTCATTATTTCATATTAGAACATACTTAACGAAAATGGCGCGTATTCTTTTTATGAAAAATAAAAGGCCTTTACACACGATGATGAGGCGAGCAGAATTTCCAAATTATTATAAAATTGCTTTTTTTCGTAGAATCTAAGTGAAAATGAGAAGAAAAAATAAAATAAATAACACATTACGTTGAAAATCTCATGCATGCATACGCAAAACAATATTAATTTTATTAAGATTCAAAAATGATATAAGCATTATAAGTATAGGCCTTACTTCGTCGGGGGATATTTGATTGTTTATAAATAGATCTAGAATTGTTGTTATCCTAATCTAGATAAATTTTACAGGCCAAACATTTATGAAGTTTTATTCCAAAGTATTAAACTTTTAAAAATATTTTTAATGTCAATGGTGTAATATTTTTAACATCATCATACAGATCTACTTTAAACTCTAACCGATAGATTGTCAAATAGATTCTATATTTGCACTGGAATAGTTTAATTAGATTCGCTATTAATACAATTAATACAAAATAATTTTTGGTAGACTAATTAAAATCATACTGCGACACATGACTAGACGGTTTTAGATCTATTCTAATATCTAGATTTACTAGACATCTCGACTAAATCTATTGCTAGAAAAAAATGTATCTTTAAAACGTTAGATTAGAAAGTATTTTAAATGTATAAATATTTTATTGAGCCTGTTAAAGCTACTGCGCTTTAAAAAAATTATATAACACTTCATTTAAAATATCCGCTTTTTGCTCTTCTCTTTTGTGATCGTATCGATCAAAGCCACCAATCATCTAAAGGACCTGCGGCAGCTATCGTTATGCGCTGCTGTTGCATCCGCAAGTCGGCCTAAGCTCGGTCTTGGAGAGCTGCGAGCCCTCCCTAGCCTCAGAAAATTTTATTACGATCCCATCATGCAGCACTCGGGATCATGTGAATTACGATTCCGGGGGCTCACCTAATATTTTGGAGCCGCCGACCAATCGCTGCAGCTATTTAAGGACACGTGACAGATTTTCCCTTGAAATAATTTATTCCCGTTGTCCGTGAAATTTCGGAAGCACCTCTGTCAAACCAGAAACTTTCATCAACAGCCGCCATGTTTGTTGGTTGTGAACGGATGAATTTGGGAAAATTTTGTGTTTTAGTTCTTATCTAAAATTAACATTTGATAAAAGGCACCGGTAAGGTTGTTCCTTTAGTGTTTGTCTAAAGTTTTAAATGGTTAAAAGGTGACTTTTGTGGTTTTAAAATAAAATAATTGTGATTCATCGAAATTGTCACTGCCGCGGCGCTTTGTGGCATCGGCTGGTGATTGGATCGGAGGTCGACGTGAAGTCGGCGGTGTCCGTCATCATGTTGCAAAAATAAATTTCTTACTTCTTCATTGATTGCATATATTGTAATTATGGTTGACAGTGTTTATTTGGACTTTATTTCGACCAAACGTGTAACTCAATAATGCTATGGGTGAAACGATATTATACGGTTATTGAAATCTTTTTAGTGCTGTGTTGATGTAAACATGGCCGACGACCAAAATGGCCCTCCGGCCAACAAGAAACCCAGAATAGGATCGCCTTCACTCAACACCCCAAGTGATAACAATGGTAAGCATTTTTAAAAATTCATATTTTTTAATCCATCTAATATATTAGTTGTGCATCTTTTCACCAATGTAACAAATTAGGGAGATCTAGATACTAGATTTACAGTTCTCAAATGAAAACTCTGCACTGATAAGACTTGAAAACATTAGCAAAGTTTGGAAATTATTTTTTAGTTCGGCAGTTATCCAGACCCTTGATGTAGAATCACGATTACATTTCATTAATAGTTGCAGACTTGGAAGTGAAATGAAGAATGAAAAATGCTTGCAGAGATTTGTAAATGCCTTAACTTTATTGAAACAAACTTGAAATAAAGCTTCACTTCTTAGAAGTTAGCTAGAGTTACCAAAGTGCTGAAATGCTTCTGATCTAGAATCCAGGATTCTAGATCTATCCTCCCAGCTACACTAACACTTTATAGATAATTTGAAATCTTGCTCTTACATTTTGTTTTTTGCTAACAATAATATAGATTCTAGGTTCAAAACAGTTTGTCCATTTCTACCAATGTGATTTTTCAAAATACTAAGGCCTAGATCTAGATATTTTTGAGTTGGGTCATACAAATAATTTTTTAGACAGCAGCTATTTCTCAACATGTTATAAAATGTAATGCTATAATAACAATAGTACTACATTAATGAATACACTCAAATATTTTCATATAGTCCTACTCATTCAGACATAAACACTTTGATTGGTACTTATTTCATTCAGTGCATATCAAGCTTTGTTATACTACCCTCTGAACACTTAACATAGGAAGATAAAAGTGATGATATTCAGAATTCTGTAGATGGTATTGCACCACTTGAATTTAAAATTAAGCCCTTTTAATAGGAATATTTTATGATTAAAAAAATGTGCATATCACCCTAATTGTATCAACAGTAGAAACAAACTCTTAAATCCACTTATGTTTGGGCAAAGCAAAGACATAAATACACATTATTAACATACAGGAGTACTTATTTATTTCAGTGTGTTTATACTTTTTTTTTCAGAATTCAATTTCAATCTCAACTTCAACAGTCTAGTCAACGAACTTCCAGATGACCTCGATGTACTACAGGGAACATCAAATGATGTTCAACAATCTCAAAGTAGCCAAGACACAGGCATGGGGGGCTCTCTGTCTCAGCTGCTATCGAGATCAACTCCCAATTCCCAGGCCTCCATGGCAATGTCACTCAACAGTGTTGGAGGTGTTCAGGCGAACAGGGGGCCTGGAATGGGTGGGATGATGAATATGGGAATGAGCAAAAATTCTATGACTAATAATTTAGTCCCTACCTTGGCTAATGCTAACAAAGTTGCCACTTCATCACATATAGGAATGAATGATCTGGTCAGCAGTGCATCGTTTACTATTGGTACCAATGCTGTTATGATGGGTGGTGTAACTAACACTATGAGTATGAAACCAATGGGAACACAACAGATGATTGGTAGTGTTGGTAGTTTAAACATGGGTCAGCAAATGCAAAATCAAATGATGAATGGACCTTCCAGTTTTTCATCGAACATGGGACAAATGCGAAACATGCCAAGTAATGTTAATCCCTCAGCATCTATACCAATGTCACAAACAGGAATGATGTCAAATCCAGGAATGCAAACCATGCAAGGACACCAGGGTCTTCCTGGTCATCCAAACATGAATATGGCTCAGAATCCAGGACAGATGGTTAGGGTAAGTTTTTTTTTTTTTGCAGCTGAGAAATTATTTTTTATTACATTCTTGGACTAGGGTACATTTCAATACTTACATGCATTTGAGAAATGTTTTTTTTCCGTTTGATTTTTTTTAAAAAGCAATGTGTTTTGTATCTAGTTTTAAATTTACAAACCTATATATTCTACTACTCATTTTCTTATGTGCTTGCATTGTTTTGGTATAATTGCAAATTAGATATGAATATACCTTCCCATTTCTAATCTTTACTTTTTAGTCCGCAAACCTTTTTGACTACTAGAGTCACCAGATAGACTAATTGTATTTGCTCTCTTTGAAAAAAAAGTGTTTTTTTTTTAAAAAAAAAAATAGCATATAAACAGATTTTCACATTTAGATCTAATATCCAGTTTAATATCCATACTTATACATTGCTTATTTGTGGTACTGTTTTAAATTTTATAGCCTGGTCAACCTACTGGAAGCGGAACAGCAGGTCCCCGACAGACATCTGCTGATCCTGATAAAAGTAAACTTATTCAACAACAGTTGGTTCTTTTGTTGCATGCTCATAAATGTCAAAGACGTGAGCAGGCAAATGGGGATCAAGATTGCAAGTTACCTTATTGTCGCACAATGAAAAATGTACTCAATCATATGACTACTTGTAATAAAGGAAAATCCTGTGAAGGTAATTTTAGATTTTTAGTTATTCATTAATCACATGACTTTAAACATACTAAGTAAACTGTCTTTTGATTAACACCTGTTAATTTTTAAACTGAATAAATTGCTAAATATTTTGATTTTAATATATATATGGCTACAGGACATTACCCCCTCCCTCTCAAGTTAGAATCCTAACTCTAACTAAAATTTTATACCTATATACTACTTTAATCCTAACCTTAAGAAAAAGACCAAAACCTAAGCATCCACCTTAGCCTAAAACTTAACACAAAGCTAACGCTAGACATTGGTTTAAGCCCAACCCTTTCCGGGGGGGGGGGGGGGGGGTAATGTCCTACTGGGTGGGGGTGTAATTACTCCGGGGGGGTAATGCCCTGTTCTCATATGTATATATATTGCTTTTGGCCTCAAGCTATTTGACAATTTTTAAAATGTTTTTGTTTTAGTTGCTCATTGTGCGTCTTCTCGGCAAATAATTACTCACTGGAAAAACTGCACTCGTGCGGATTGTCCTGTATGCTTACCGCTAAAGATTGCAGATAAGCGTAACACTTCTGGTCAAAATGTTAATCAAAATTCACCAATGACTGCACCCAATTCTCAACCGTCTGGTGTTACTGATCAGGCAACAATGAAACGAGCTTTTGAATCATTAGGTCTTCAGTATAATCAACCAACAACTCATAATGCTCTCACTCATCCACATCAACAAATGAATACCATGCCCAATGATGGTAAGATGTTTTCTATTTTTATTGTTTACTATTTTGTAAATGTTAAATGCTAAAATAAAATATGGTGGATTAAGAAAATAAAACTAATAATAATAATCTTTTTCAGGCCAAATGAACAAACCTACTTTGCCAAATCAGCAAGTGCCAAAAGTTCTCCCAAATCAAACCCAGAGTAGTCATATGGGTAACCTGCTAAGTAACATGCCAGTTCCTCAGGTACCTCAACCAATACAGCCCCAGAGTGGAAGTCAGTTGGCAACTTCTACTGCTCAGGCTGCTGCCATGGGAAATGCACCTGATATTGTCAAGTCAATACCTCCTAGTAATAGAAAAGATTGGCATGCACAAGTCACACAAGATCTAAGAAATCATTTGGTTCATAAATTGTAAGTATCGTTAATTTCTACATTTCATTGTTTAAAATTGTCTCATCCTATTTTCTATTAATTAAATGCAGTTGTACCATAAGATACAAGTTACTTCGTTCAGTAACATTGCTAGTTTGTTTAATTGCTCATATCTTATAACAGTTTACTCCTTAAAAATTAATTGAAATGCTTTTCTTCTGTTACAACCCCTAAAATTGTTTTTGATAATTATTTTTGTAAGAAGTGTATTTGTAAATGACAATATACGATAATGCAATTAAATAAGTGGGTTTATATAGTGGATTAACCTTGAAAATTCGTAGACTTAAGCTTAAGTAAGATGTTAGTGTAGGTATGTGCTCAGTTTAGGGTGGAGGAGAAAGGCTGTCACTGCTTTTCTCTTTTGTATACTATACTTTTTTCACCATGCTTCCTTTTGCCACTGCTCCACATAGGCTGTTAAAATAAACCTGTCGAAAGATTGTTTTTTCCTCACTTTTATAATGTTTTAGAATTGAGTTAGGTGTCATTAAATAGCTCAGATGCACAATCATTTGCAACTTTTTAGGGGAGTTACATTTTCACAAACTGTTGTACCTGCTTATCCAGTTCTTGTCTATCAAAATATTTCCTTTTGGGTTTGATTGCATGGTATTTATTTCTTATAGGGTGCAAGCCATCTTTCCAACACCAGATCCAGCTGCATTAAGAGACAGCAGAATGAAAAATCTTGTTGCTTATGCAAGGAAAGTAGAAGGTGATATGTATGAAACTGCAAATAATAGGGTAAGCTGTTTATATTTTTATGAGTCATCAAGTTACTTATTTATACACAATAGGTTAATAATTTAGAAATTACCATAATATGGTGTAAGATGTAAAGTTGAAAATCACATGTTCTCAGGGGGAATATTACCATCTTTTGGCTGAGAAAATATACAAGATTCAGAAAGAGCTAGAAGAAAAGAGGATCCAGAGAATGCGAGGAGTACAGAATGCCCCAAATGCTGCTGTTCCTGGTATGCCAGGACAAATTAGACCTGGTCTACAAAGTAAGTAATTGTTTTATTATTAACATGATGCTCAGAATTTTAACACATTTAATTTATCTTGAAGTCACCTGCAGTCGTTTTTATGCTGTTTTGTATTTTTTGTTTAGATGGTCCCAACAACTCTCAGCTTACAAATAGCTTATTTAATGATATGAATAGTATGCAACAACCTCAACCACCAAACCAAGGAATGCCAATGCAAATGAAGTGGAACCAGAATATGCGATCTACACCACCTCCACTTGGCCAGGTTAGTTATATAAGGGTCTATTATTTTGTAATCATTAAAAATATTTGCCTTTTAACTCTTTAAAAGTTTGCATTCCAACTTTTGAACAAACTTTAATATCTACTTATTCCTATCAAATTATTAATATTTAGAATCCAGGTGTAACCACCTCAATTCCAATGACACAGAATGCTGCATTAGCTGAATCCCAGCAGCAATTTGATGCGCTGGTCAAAAGTCGTCAACCTCAAAATACAAATAGACTTTTAATAGCTGGTCCGCCTCCAGTGTCATCCACACACCCATCACCTCAACAGTTATTACACCAGCAGCTCAACTCACAGCAAGTTGTCCAGTCTCAGGTAATCTTTTTTATTCTATAAAATGCCGCTAATGATTATTTTAAAAAAATATTTTAAAATTTGTGTTAAATTATTTAGAAATTTTTAAAAATAGTCTTAGTCCTGGGAATAAAAAGCTGCAGTTCATACTCTTTTTCCTTTTTGTTCCCTAGACATGGGGTTCCACTGAAAGTTTTGTCACTGGCAATTTTCCTGGCAGTCCTGCCTCTACCAGGTGCTTCCCCACTGTATGTCTCCCTTGACTTTCCCTGCAGTTACTTTTCTTTAATGTACTTGATTTTGAGCATCTCTTTTCAAAGGTCCTCCAGGATTTTCTAGGTCGGCTCATTTTTCTTGTATCTTCTGGGTTCCAGTTGAACACTTGTTTTGTGGTGCTCCCCAGGGCATCTTCTGTCCATTTCCCTGGCTGGTTTAATTCAATGGGCTGCTAATTAAATACTTTGCCACAGATGAGTGTTGGAGATTTTTTTCACCGTCTTATTTTGAGGATACATTGCACTTTGTGATGTGAAGGACTGTAGCCTGTTGTTGGACTTGTAAACCTTAGGTGTCTGAGCCATATAGCAGTACTGTCTCAATTTTTGTGTTGTAAATTCTTACCTGGCTCTGGACGGACAGGGCTGTGGAATTTTATACTGGGAGGCACATTTTGCTGTTAGACTTACTATGTCTTCATCTGCTTCACATCTTTGTTGACTCTGCTTTCCAGATATGTTAATTTGTTTTTCTCGTAATTTCTCTGTTAAGCTGTTATTTCTTCTCAAATATTTACATACACACATTTATATTTCCAACAGCAATCCATTGTTCAAAATCACATGAACACATCCTTGGCTGATAATATAATGGGTGGAAACCAGCGGCTAGGTAATGTTCCATCTACTGTGGGCAGTGCTTTAGACAGTATTGGAACAAATAATGTACATGTTACAAGCTCGCAACAGAATCTTCTTGCACAGTTAGCAGGACCTGTTGCTTCCACGAACATGAACCAGTCACAACATATTTCCATAGCTCGGCCACCTCAACAAAATGGCCAAGTGTCATCAAAAGATATAAATGTAAGTATTTTGTATACAACATTCATTTTTTAATTTATATTACATAATGCTCAGTGTAATTTATCACCCAAAAGCTGCATTAATTTTAAAGCGGTTGAGTATGACAGATGAAATTGGTTGTTTATCCACAGAATGATCGTTCACAACTAACAGATGATATTAACAAACCCGATTCTGTGGTGAAAGATTCCAATTTATCAGAAAACAATCACAATCTTTCTAGTCTGTTATCAGCTGCATCTCCTTCAACCATGTCCCTAACTATAACTCCACCAATTTTACCACAAATCACTTCCTCGGCAACTGTGTCTTCCATGCTTAATTCAACAACGCCAAAGACCGAAGTAAAAACTGAACCTTCAGCAGATATTAAATCAGAAAATGACATTAAAGAAGAAAAAATGGAGGTTAAGTCTGAAGCTGATTGCAAACCAGACATTCAGTCAGTGAAAGATGAAAATGATACATCCAGTCCTAAGTTGGATAATATGGATGAAAATTCACAAGCAAGTGAAGACAAACCTCTCTCTGTTGGAGATTCATCAAACAATACATCTGCAGGAACTCCTAAACCAAGATGCAAAAAAGGTATTGGTTACTTTTGCATTTTGTTTTTACAAGTATTTGTTAAACCAATCCAAGAGCTTTTTAATAATGCATTGCTTGTAAAACCATGAATTGTGTGATATGGAAATACACATGCTGTTTGTAAGACAACAGTATTTTAATTTAAAAAAACAACACTTTTGTGAGGTTTTTGTCTTATGTGACAGTATTGTTGAATCCATTACACTTTATGCAAGTCAGCAGCTCAGTTACAAATTATAGCCCTTTGGACCTCCCTCGTCCACCCAGATCTAATGGGTACCTAACTCAAGGGAAATAAACAAGTTTATAGTGATTTGCTTCACTTAGAAACTTATGTCTTAGACAAGTACTCCTTTTCGAGTTGCTTTATTTTGCATTTTTATTATAAAAAATATGTAGTTGTGTAATACATTTGTAAATTGTTGTACACCTTCATCAGTATTTAACCCTGATGAGTTGCGACAAGCTCTAATGCCAACCTTGGAAAAATTAGTCAAGCAAGACCCAGAATCTCTACCTTTTAGGCAGCCTGTTGATCCAGTTATTCTACATATTCCAGTGAGTACTCTATTCTCAACAATTTTACTTCCATTAACAAAATATGTTTGAAAAGTGTGTGTGATCAATAATCAAATAATTCACTTCATAAAAATTCTATTTCATGTATTGTGCTTTTAATTTTTGGGAAATGAAAATGCTGATAATATTAATTTTAAATTGCTTCAGCCCTCGCTTTACAAAAGTAGTACAAAATACACAACCAGTTTTTTGGTCATAGCAATAAAAGATTTTAAAATAATTAAAACATTTTTTTAGAGTATCCAGGGCTGATGTCATTTAAAATAAAATATGGTTCAAATTCAGTAAGGGAATTTAAAAATAACAACTTTGGTTAACGATAACACTGGATGTTCTTTTTAAATGACAATTAGAAATAAAACTGAATGTTTCTTATTTTTATATGGTTATAAATGTTTTGCTTTTCACAGGACTACTTTGAAATTGTTAAAAAACCTATGGATTTATCAACCATCAGAAGAAAGTTAGATTCAGGGATGTATAAAGACCCATGGGAATATGTTGATGATGTATGGCTCATGTTTGATAATGCATGGCTTTATAACAGAAAAACGTCAAGGGTCTACAAATATGCATCCAAGGTATATATATTTTTATAAATACATCTGCCTTGAGTAATACATTTTCGTGTGATTTAAGATATAATAATTTCTTTTTTTTTTCTTTTCAGTTGTCTGAAGTGTTCGAAGCTGAAATAGATAGTGTAATGCAGTCATTAGGCTATTGTTGTGGCCGTAAATATGTATTCTGTCCACAAGTGTTATGTTGCTATGGCAAGCAGCTTTGTACAATCCCCAGAGACTCAATGTACTATAGTTACCAAAATAGGTAAATTACTTGTTAAGTGCTAAACATACATAAGAAATTAAGTTTTTATATACTTCTCCCTAAAAAGGGTCGATGCCCTATAAATTTACACACATATTCAACTTTTGATGTTAAATGACCGTTTTATTCTAGATATGTCTACTGTGAAAAATGTTTCAATGAAATCCAAACAGAGGAGGTGGAATTAACTGAAGATCCATCCCAACCAGCAGCGTAAGTTGTGAATGTTTATTTCAAAAAACCTAAGAGAAAATTAATATACCACATGATTTTTTGTTTTCAATTTTTAAGAGTGATAAGGCTGGGAATTATTTTTTTATATACCTGATTTTTTCAAATCAAAAAGTAATTTCCAGTTTACATTTGTTTTCATACAATTTTCTTTTAAAGTATAATACTTTTTTGGTTGAAATAATGCACTTTTTATTTTCATTTGTTAAATCAGTGGCAGCGTGACAATTTTTCATTATCTGCACTGCTTGACAGCTGATTAATAAAGTTTGAAAATTTGCATTAAAATGATTTTTTATTTTTTAAAACAGAGCATGTCTTATAGTACTTGAAAGTGTCCAGACTTGTATATATATATTTATTAATTAATAATTCATAGCTCTTTAATTAAGTAAGCCTAATAACATTTAGCTTAGTTAATATTTTGTACCCCAGAAAAAAGTGATTGAAACAATGTCTAGTTGATGTATGCTACTTGAGAGTGATATTCATAGTGATTTTTACCTGGAAAATTGTTGTCAGCAACCCAATGGACAGCAAACATTTGTTAATGGCTTTCAGTCATGTTCTTAATAGGTAGAAATATGTGTGCAACATAACTATCCTCACAAGTAATGTATTAGAGGTTTTTTAGTTGCAATTTCAATTGCAAATTTGGATATTTAAATTTGTTCCTACATCGCTCTTTGACTATTCAGTCACTTTTAGTGGGTTTAATCTATGCTTTAACTTTTGAGATTTGCATCCCTTGTTTTAGAACTGATGGAGACACGCTAACAAACTTCTTAAAAATGACGTGTCAGAGCACCAACAAAGAAAGGCGAGTTGTTTTTATGTTGAAAGCTGTTGTAATTATAAATAATTTAATTTATAGATGTAATAATTATTCTTTATGTAATTGTAGCTTACAATCTAAAGGTCATGTTCACTGTCACTTTTACTGCATCATAGTCAATGTTTTTTGTTTCTGTCTGATGGACACAACCCATAAATGAGTTTTAGACAGATCCATTGCTAACAGTTTGCTTTAAATTTAAAATAACGTGCTTAGATTTGACAAAGGTGATTAAAAGTGGTTTGGATATTCTGACCTTTCTTGCTATGTTCTTTTATTATCCTTAATGCTCACTAATCCCAATGAAGGGGCAAGTTTGTCTTACTTTTCAGTGCATCCAGAGGACAGAATTGATCATACCTCTTTATCTTCTACAGGAAAATGCGAAAAGACGTTTTTTCTCTTTACAGGAAAATCCGTAAGGACCAATTTGAGAAAGTGAAAAATGACCAGTTAGACTATGAGCCGTAAGTAATTGTGGAACTATTGGTGTCTAAATTTAAGGTATTGGTAGTACATATTCAAATACTAAAGTTGAACTACTTAATTGTTGATTGCTTTACTTAAATAAATAACTTCTTTTCGGTCCATAATTTAACTAATAAATATTTTACAGATTTGTTGACTGTTTGGAGTGTGGTAGGAGGTGGCACCAGATATGTGCATTATGGTTTGAATCAATATGGCGAGAAGGGTATGTTTAAATTATCTGTGAATATTTGTTTTGTACAAAATACTATCGAGTTTATAACTGATATTCTGCTAGGAGTGTCCTGAAAATATTTTTTTTCTCTATGTAATCAAATTATTAAAGTTTAAAAAAAATTCTTTATTCATTTGAATATTATTTTTTGTAGATGGACGTGTGATGCGTGTCACAAAGCTAAAGGAACTAAACGTAAAGAAAATAAATTTACTGCAAAAAGTAAGTACTACCCCAACACTTATAAGTATGGTTTTCCTTTGAATTCTTCATAATTAAAATCTTTTAACTAAATTTTTTTCAGAATTGCCAACTACAAAATTGGGTACATATCTTGAGAATAGGATTAACAACTTTTTAAGGAAAAAGGACACTCAAGCTGGAGAAGTAACTATTCGTGTTCTTTCAAGTTATGACAAAGTAACAGAAGTGAAGCCATTAATGAAAAAGAGGTATGGGTAGTCTTTAGCTAAAGTTACATGTTTTTGTAAAAGCAGTTGTTTTTGTATGTGTTTACCAATTTACAATGGTTTTTTTTTGTGAACAGGTTTGGGGATGAAATTCCAGAATCATATCCATATCGCGCCAAAGCTATGTTCGCTTTTGAAGAAATTGATGGAGTAGATGTATGTTTCTTTGGAATGCATGTACAAGAATATGGATCATCATGTCCTATGCCAAATACCAGGTTTGTGAATGTGATATTTTTTTATCCAGATTGGTAAAATTGTCAGATTTAGCTAGAAGATTTAAAACAGTTTATTTCAATTTTCAAAAATCAAAATATCTTTTTCAGACGAGTTTACATCTCTTACCTGGATAGTGTTCATTTCTTCCGGCCACGACACCTTAGAACAGCTGTTTATCATGAACTGTTGATTGGTTACCTTGACTATGCTAAACAATTAGGATATACAACAGCACATATTTGGGCTTGTCCACCCAGTGAAGGAGATGATTACATTTTTCATTGTCACCCTCCAGAGCAAAAAATACCAAAGCCTAAAAGATTGCAAGACTGGTATAAGAAAATGTTGGATAAGGCAATCATTGATCGTGTTGTTGTTGATTACAAGGTAAGTTTTATTGACTTATTTTATATATATCTATATATTTTAAAGAAATATTTGACCACATTTAAACAGCTAAGAAACAAAACTCTTCACGGGGTACCTCAATCTCAGGAATACAAAAGTAGGAGGGAAATTTTTAATGACCTCAGTGAATTCATGAACTTTGTCAGAATCTGATTTTCTCATAGCCTATACTTATGTTATAAAGTGTTATTGTTGGAGGTGCCGTTGTGGCTATCCAGAAGGTTTTGGGTTTTGAACCTATTAAAATTACAGTGCTTTTTTTAAAATTTGTTGAAATGGCATTATTGATTAAAAACATTTTAGGCTTTGGGTAGGGATTAGTGTTGGGGTAGGGCTAGGAACAGTCTAAGAATATAATAATTAATTTTTATCTGAGCAAATATCAAGAATTTTAACTTTATGAATGAAATAAGTAATTTTTGACTTGTAGATCCACATTTATGTAGAAGTGCTTTAGCATTTTCTCAGACCATTTCTTCCAACTGTAGAGAAAAAGATCCTGTTGAGGAATAAACACACGGCTTATTATCTCTCAACCGTCAGAATATATATATATATATATATATATATATATATATAGATAACCTCAACAGGATGGGAGAATATAAGCACTTATTTCCTCAACCATAGGCCGAAATAACACTACGATCATTGTTTACCTCTGCTTTTATATAGTTAGGCCTAGAGATGAGAACTAACAGTTGTTTTACTATTTCTGTTTAACCCTGTATTTTAATAATCTGTAATGGTTACATTAGGATATAGATCGAAATAAAGTAAAACTTAGGGAATGTGAATTAAATAGAAAAAATATACTCTTAGAAGCTCAGTTTTGCATCCTACTGTAATTTTTATGCCTGGTAGAAGGTTGTCACTTGACCTACTTTTTTTTACCGTCATCATGGTAATGATGGCTGCCCGACACTGATTCGGTTTTTTTTTAACAATGTTTCATGGTCATTTCAGAAATTTATACTTAGAATCGTTCTTTTTGCTTGCTATTCAACAATACCAGTCTAGCTTTAACAATGGATGATTAGTGTTTGATGCTTACTTGCCATTTGTAAAAAAAAATTGTGTAATCCCTGAGAATATCGAGCAGAACATAATAAAAGTAAGAAAACCGTGAATTGCATTATTTAATATTGTTCTAAACATACTGAAAATATATTCTAAACTATAGAAAAATTACAACTTGCTTTCTATTAAACTAATGTCATTAACGTTTTAAAAATTATGCAGGGAAAAATAAAAGCTTTAAAAAATAACTTGATCAAGACAACAGCTAGCCAAGCCCGCCCATTTTGCCCGCCGTGTATTTGAATGGGAAGAAATCTAGCAGACGACATATTTCTTCTGAACGACAGTGAACGATTAATTGTGTCACAAAAACACTCCTTAAAAAATTAACCCACTGTATCACTGAAAAATCAGTCTTATCTTCGTAGCCATTTAAAAACAAACGCGTTTTTTCACAAATCATTTTCTAGGCTACCGATCAAATCGGATAAATAAAATTGGTATCAAATTAAAGGTAAATAAGTCTAGTTTTTAATTTTTAAAGTCATCAAGACAAATTAATGAAGTTTAAAATCTTAGGCGACACCCTACTAGTAGTGATCATCTGTACTATTGCTAAAATTGTAAATCAACTCTAACACCAATTCATCATATTTACCATTTTTTCCTGTCTCCTAGCTATAACCTCTGCCTGTTGAAAAATAAGGCCTCTCATTTGGTAATTGTATTCTCTTTCTGAGCACATGACGTTACCATCTCCATCTTCTATACCTGATGACTACTTTTAATGGTTGGATGAGTGTTCTTAACTCCTTGAGACCATATTTGGAAAGATTTTTAATATTTGGCACAAGCTTCCAATTTCATTGCTATTACGTTTGTAGTTTTCCAAACTTACAGAGACATACTTTTCAGTATACTAATGCTGATTTCCATATATAGCACACTAAAGGGCTGTCTTCTTCTAAAGAGTCCATGCCTACCACAGGTTAATAATGCAAGTCTTTGTATTGTTAATTTTGATGCTGAGCTATTTTAGAGTGTCTCCAGAGGTACACATTGGTACATCTGAGAAGTACAACATTGCCATAATCTAGACTCATCAATCAGCCCATTTGTTAAAATGACGAAAGCAGACTGCTTTGCATTCTTTAGTGTTTAAAAAGTTGCGTTTTTCCAAGTGCTTTTTTTTTTAAATTTTAACCCTGAAATGCCACCTTTGAAGGAACAAAATTCTTAAACATTCAAGATAATGGTTAATCATTTAGATAATGGACCATTTTAGTAACATCTCAAAAACATCTACATTTTCCTTTGTCTACATACATTTTTTGTGTGGCCTTGACTTGTGTTATAATCTTGGTAATTCTTTCTAGATTGTTTAAAATGAATTGTGTAAAATTGATATTATTTTATAGGGTAAAGAAGGGCACTAAGAGCCACACTTTTTAGCACCTGTACATTTTTAAAGATTTTTTACTAATCCAAATATTTTCTAATATTGAAATTGATATAAAATTATTTGAACATATCTTACACAATATAAAAATATAATAAAGGCTATTAAATTTACTTTAAATTGGTTGAATTTAGCATTTATAGCCATACCCCCAAAATCAGCATTTGGGGCAAATGTAGCCAGGCCACAGGGCATTAAGTATTATCTCCTAGTTTAGTTTAACTCCACAATAAAATAATTAATTTCTAACCCCAAACTAGTTAATGCTGTGTACACTCATTAAATTAAATGATACCAGTTATTACTAGGCCCCATTGGACCCCTCCACAATAAATACAATTGCAGGTCTACATAGGGCCTACAGTCAAGTAGTTTACATTAGGCATATTAGTATATGATATCTGGTGTGTAGCTGTCCAGAGTTAAAATTCTTGGATGTAAATGGGGAGGTACTAGCTATTCTGCCTTGATACTTTCCCCACATAAGCCATGTGTGCTATACATTACATAACATGACATGGAGGTGAGAAATATTGAGGGGAGAGCATTGGTACTGATTTCCCCTTTGTTCTCCTTACTGGACCCTAAGGGCCATACATTACATAAGAGATGCTATCTCTGGTTGGCTGAGATCTAAGGACTAAGTCCATGTTACCTACAAAGAGATGAAGTTTTATGGTGGATTAGATACAGGTGGTGGCTGGATATCATGGGGGTGAGAAATTGTGAGGGGAGAGCAGTGGTATTAATGTGTCTGATCACTTCCCTGCTGGACCATGGTGGTAATAAATTACATAACATACCACCTTGGATTGGCTGCAATCTAAGAATAGTTATCCCTGTTACTTACAAAGAGATTAGAAGTTTTATGGTTGGTTAGAAACAGGTGGGGGCTGAGTCAGTTGTATTGCCCCTTAGGGGTAATAAGTATGTGTACCATTTTAAAATTACCTGGCTAACATCAGATGTCTGAATTTTTGCTTTTTAGGTTAGAATTGTATTTCTATAACTTAGACACAAGTGTGTTTAACAATTAATACATTTTGTGTTAACTATTCCTATACCTGTGTCAAATTTAGTGGTCTAAAAAATGAGACACTTGCACAGAGGGCATCAAAAGCCACATAACAATATCTGTTATAACTTTTCTGAACTTTTGCAAACCCAACTTATCTAGTAATTCGAACTCAAATCTTAAACATTAAAATTTTAAATTTTTTAAAACCATATGGCCTAGTTATGCCATGGTTATGTACATTTTTAGTAACAAAATTTATATGTACATTTTCAGTAACAAAATGTAAATCTAATTGTTTTTGGCTTTTTTGTTTTAAATTTTCAGTTACCAAAAATACTAAAAACTCATGAGATCTTAAAGTCCAACAAAAACAAAATAGATTTTTTAACCATATTTATTTTAATAACATTGTAACATTATTTTTATAAATATTTAATTGACCTTCAAATAATTTTGAGACTTATTGATTGGGTTCATAAATAAAATATGTTCAGGAGAGAAAATTAGATAAAAATTGCTCTTTTCTATTTTAGTATAATAGAACTTTTTAAAGTCAGTTTTACTAAGCCATAATGAGGCTAATTCAAAACCATTTTATGTTGTCACATTTCTGCTATAAACAATGTAAACATAATTTAACAAAGGAAAGATTGTATACTTTGTCATTGGAAAAAGTGGAAAATGTTAAAATACGAGGGAATTTAGTTCTTCTTAAATCTTGTTATTCCTGGGTAGAGCATTCTCAAATTACAGATTGGAAAATGTTCACTCATAAAGCCTAGGTAAAAGTTGCTACCAACTTCCTTTTACATTTAGTTTTCTTCTTCATTTCTATGTATTTATTACATGTGCATTTTTCTTTAGGACATCTTTAAAGATGCCATTGATAGCGGTTTAAGCACAGCTAAAGATATGGCTTACTTTGAAGGAGACTTTTGGCCAAATGTAATTGAAGATAGTATAAAAGAACTGGATCAAGAAGAAGAAGAGAAAAGAAAGAGAGAAGAAGCAGAGGCAGCTGAAGCAGAAGCTCAAGAAGCTCAAGTTGAAGAGACGAATGATATGGTACATAAATATATAATCTTTTTCAAAGCCTCTTTTTTTAATTTTAAAAAGTATATAAAATATATAAAGTATGATATTTAAATGCTAATATAATAATAAACTGCTTCATATAATTAATGTGCTAGCTTTTTGCTTGAATTCAAAATTACAACAGTGTCAAACAAATATACAGGATGTCTCTGGAAAAAAGAAAGGCGAAAAGAAAGGCCAAAGAAGCAAAAAAGCAAACAAGAGTAAGGGTGGAGCTAGGAAAAACAATCGTAAAACAAATCTACCACAGGGTACAAATGATTTGACAGCTAAGCTCTACAACCATATGGAGAAACATAAAGAGGTAAACATATTTGTTGCTCGCTTAATATTTAAAGAAAAAAATTGGTTACTTTTCTGTAGATTGGCCAACCAAAAGGGGTTTAAAAGTTAAAGATTATTTTTATTCTCCTTTCAAGTACTTTTTTTGTGTCAACACTTTTTAGTATTCCATGTACCTCTTGTGTGTTTCAGGTATTTTTTGTGATTCGCTTGCACAACCAGCAAATAGCTGCTTCACTACCACCAATCACAGAGCCAGATCCAGCTATGAGTTGTGATTTGATGGACGGTCGTGATGCTTTTCTTACCACTGCAAGAGAAAAGCATTATGAATTTTCCTCCCTAAGAAGAGCTAAACTCTCATCTGTAGCTCTTTTGTACGAGTTACACAATCAAGGAAAAGATGCTTTTGTCTATACTTGTAACAGTTGTAAAGCAGCTGTTGAGACTCGCTACCACTGTAATACTTGTGATGTAAGTACATTTGAATTTATTTACCCTTGAATACTGCAGCAGAGTTTAATGAATATTAAAATCATTGTAAAAGTTAGGTTCCCTTTCAAACCTGATGGTTAATGGGACAAGTGAAGTAGAGTTCACCTTGATAGCTTATGAACAATAGAGAGTAGCTCCAAAGATCAGTGGGTTCATGTACAATAGCTAGAAATCTTATTCACTCCTTTCTTCAATGTTTTCTTTCTTGGGTTTGGACAGTGTTTTTTGCTCCTTGTCCAAACTTGGGAGTCATGTTTATTCTGCTTTCTTTATTCAACTTTTAAAAATACAGAATAACCCATGAAAAAATGTAGCAAATTGTCAAGTTATTGTATTCATGAAAATATGATAGATCGGCCATCATCACACAAACACACCACTAGACATGTGTAAATAATTAACTCTGCAATTTTACATTTTCAGGATTTTGATCTTTGTATTCCCTGCTACAAGAAAGAAAGCCATAATCATGAAATGACAAAACTTGGTTTGGGACTTGATGAAATCGCAAGTACAGATAAAGAAGAAAATCCCCAAGAATCTCGTAGAAAATCAATCCAGCGGTGCATCACTTCTTTGGTGCATGCCTGTCAGTGCAAGAATGCAAATTGCCGTATCAATTCTTGTATCAAAATGAAACGTGTTGTTTCCCATACTATGAGTTGCAGACGCAAAACAAACAATGGTTGTCCAATTTGTAAGCAGCTGATAGCTCTGTGCTGTTATCATGCCAAACACTGTACTGAAGCCAAGTGTCCTGTGCCATTCTGTCCACAACTCAAGCACAAACTACGCCAGAAACAACTTCTCACTAATCTTCACCAGGCACAAATGCTTAGGCGAAGAGTTGCTATAATGACAGGAAATACAAATACCAGCTCTAGCAATGGACCACCCAGTGTGCTACCGCAAGATACTTCACCCCAACCATCTGCATCAACATCCTACCCTGGAGGAAGTGTTGGAAAAGCACCTGGCGGCCCTCCAAGAGCTGCCATAATTGCTGCCCAAGAAGCTCAAGTTCAAGCAGAAGCACAGAGGCAAAGTTCTGCTGTAACCGGAATAAGTTCTATTGGTAAACCTTCCATGCAACAGCCTGTAAGACCCCAACCTCCTCCAATTGTGCCTAATGTAGGTGGCAAACCAATCAGTGTTGCTCAGAGACAGGCATGGCCTCCACCTTACCAGCAACCACAGGTGAGGCCAGGTCTAAATCCTGGTGTTAGACCTACTGGCATGCCTCTTCCACAGCCACAGCTGCCACCTCAACAAGCTGCTGTTCCGACCATGGTACCCAGTGGAGCTAACGCAGCACCCGGCCCAGCTGGTGCAGGGGTTGGTGGATCTATTACACCAGCTGTTCATAACATGTTACAAGCTTTTAAGAACCAAAACTTTTCCCAAGCTGAATGGGTGGCAGTATTAAAAAAGAATCCTCAACTGATGGCCCAAGTCCTTAAACTCAAAAACCAAAAAGTTCAACAACAACAACAGCAGCAGCAGCAACAACAACAGCAGCAGCAGCAGCAACAACAAACCCAACAAATGCATGGTATGCCTAACATGGGTCAACCTATGCCACAACAAGTTACTGGCCAGATGCAACAACAGCAGCAGCAAATGCGCACTCAAATGAATCTAATGCAACAACAGCAGTATCGTCATCAACTACAACAACAACAACAGCAACAAACATCTCAAATTAATCAGTTTGCTCAGCCTCAGCAACCATTTGTTCAACGACCTAGAATGAGCTTCCAACAATCATTTCAAAATGACACAGGACACATGCATCAGTTCCAGCAACAACACATGATGCATCACCAAGCCCAACTGAAGCAGCAGATGGCTGGTGGGCAACCCATGAGTCCTCAGTACATGCTGTCTCAGCAAGCAAATCCTTCACCCCAACAAATGCTCCAGCAAGTACGCTCCCCTCCTGCCAGTGCTGCTGGTCTCCCACAAACAGTTCTTTCCTCTCCTCAGTCATCAGCTTCTGCCTCCCCAAGGTTACCCAACTCTTCTCCTCGCCCTCATCATCAGTCCCCTCATCACAATATGGTCAATAACCAGTCACCTCTTCATGGAATGGGTGTTGGGCAGGATACCTCACAAATGACCAATGATCATGTTATGCTTTCTTCTTTACAAACTCATAATTCCATGTCACAGATGACAAGTTCAGATGTGAATATGGGGCAACAAGACAATGAGGTGGCACCACTTACACCTCAGGACCAATTAGCTCATTATGTGAACCAAATTTAGTGCTTTTTCTCCCTTATTTTAGTGTGAATATCCATCAGTTAACTTATCAAAAGAACATTTTTGTATTTGTTTCATGTACAAAAAAATGATCTTTTCTTTGAACAAATGTGATCGATGTTGTTTCCATTCAGAGTTGTTTTATATTTTTTACAAAAAAATCATCAATTATGTATTTGTTGGCTGACATTAGTGTTGCTGTAAATTTTATGAGATCAGAAAGTTTAAAAAAAAACCAACTTGATTTGAAATTTAAAACCATTTTGTTTGTAAATACATAAATTTCTATGTACAGTTATGACTTAGAAACATACCATTATTACATATGCTAATTTATGCCCTCCTTTTTTTTAAAAACTTCATTTTACTTTTTTTGTCATAAAAACATTGCTAACAGCTATTTGAAACAGATCTTACCAAATATTGTAAACTTTACAGAGATGGGTTTTTCTGTGATTATTCATACGGAGTATAAAAACATTGTTTGATGCAGTAATTGTTAGCCCTCGGCTGGCCTGAGCTTGAACGTTTGCATGGCTACAGGTGGCACTTACATAATATCTGGTGAAGTTCCTTCATAAGTGTTTCAAAATGTATTTAAAAACATTGTACATTTTTGTATAATTCTAGAACTACAGAAGTATTTCTTCAGATTTCTACACACTGCCATTAAATTTTTATCACTTCAGTTTGCTACACTATTTTACTTTTCAATGTAAAATGAAATAAACCAGTGATTGGTTAGAAAATAGATTTCTTTTATAGTTTGTAAATATGGGTGTAAAAAAGTGTTTGAAACTTGCTGGACACAGTATTCTAAACAGTGTTCACTTTGCAAGCTTCCTCATTACTTAATAACTTGTCATAGTATAAATTTCCACTCAGGCATCAAATATATACATTTTTGACAAACTGGATTGTTGTGATGTTAAATTATAGTTTTACTCCCCCATTCAACTGTAATTTAGACAAAGCAACACTGGTATAGACAGCAATGACCACAATATGGAGGTAATTGTATTTGTATATGAAGAAAGGAGCCATTTTGACATAACTATTTTCTATGCAAAATCTATTTCCTAACATTGGTAAAATGTGAGTACAAAATGCTTGTACAATAATGATCTCTTTGTAAATTATTTTCAAATTTCCTAGTATTTGTTGACTTGGTAATTTTAAACACGTAATGCTTCATTTTAATTTCTATATTTACAAGGTATTTTTTAAAATTCAGTTTTTTAGGTACATGTGAAGATTTTCATAACTTGCTTCTAATAATTAGCTTACTCCATTCAGAAGCTGACTGAAATGTGGTAACATAACTTTGTAGTTGAAACTTGTGCTGGGCTGTCTAAACATATCAAATATTCAGAGCAAAAGCTAGAAGCAAGCTGTTCAAATTTTTAACTAATTATTTTCAATACAACGATTATTTTTTTCAAAAATAATTACAACAGCAAAATATCCTTTAAACATGTCTCTAATCGAGGTTTAGTTCCTGGTTCATCATCTTTTGTATGTGTACTGGAATATTCCATATTTTTAACTGAAGGAGATTTTGTCAGAAAAATGAATTAACAACTTCAAAAACTTGAGTTTGCTGTTCGTAATCTTAACACCTATATTTAAAATGCAGCAATGTTTCGTGCCTTACTCTGCTTAGAAGTTAAACAAACTTAAGATGGTTGTAGAAAAAAAATGAGTTTTTTTTTGGTTTTCTTTTTTCAATCTGCTCATAGTTTCTTCCAAACTTAAATAGTTAATCACACTACTTTTGTAGTGTAGTAGCGTAATTACTTAAACGTGTAGCCATTGCCCACCAAACATAACTTATTCTGTTGTAATCACTGTGAGTTGTGAATGTATGCTCTTTTGTAATCTTCATTTTTGTTAACCATTGAATCTTGATTAGGCGACTAGTCATTGTTTAGACAGTTTTGTCTCTTCAGTTTGTTCCTTTTGTTGTTAGAAAGTTTAACTTTTTGCATCAGTTATTACAAGCAAGCTGGATCTGCTTCAGTTTATACCTGTTGAAGGCATGTGCAATGATAATTTGATTTTAAGCATAATACACTCTGCTCTTTTCAATATATCATTTCCAGCAAAACAGTCTGCATTCTATCTTTCAGTGAGATCACTGTAGTCCAACAGTAAATACATCTGTACATAGTGACATTTCTTGTTTCCTCCTGCCAGCCGAGGGAGGGAGAGAATTGTTTGTTTTTGTGAATGAATGACACCATGTAGTATTTATTACTGCTAGCTCCATAATTCATTTTATCAATGTGTGACTTTGGTGTCAAAAGTGTAAAGAATGTTCATAATTTTTTATACCAATAAAACAGCATTTTTCAAACTAGGCTGGGTGGTTTGTAAAGTGTGAAAGTGGAACTGTACAGATTGTGTGAAAGTTTTTTTTGTATGCTTGTTGACGACTGCCTGGCAATGATTCATATTCTTACTGCGATACCAGAGTTGATTCTTTATTTCATTTATGCTGTATATAATAAACCTTGTCAGAACATTTTCTCCCAGTGGAGTTGTCATATTATTTTTTTATTTGGAAATGTGTTCTTTGTGCATGTGTAGTGTAAGTTTCTACCATGGCTTAGTTTGGCAATAGCTTTCCATGAATAAGATTAGTAACTTTTCTTTATTTGGTATTATACCCATTTGGTTGACAATCATTACAAAGCTCCAATCATGTATCCCTTAATTGGATTGGTTTAGTGATCCCCAACATAGAAAAGTGATCTTAGTGTATTGGCTTACTTGACAGTCCTCGTTGCTCCGTATGGAACATAGGGCCTCCACCTTTTTCTTCCATTTCGTCCGATCCCCAGCTATTAATTTTGCAATCTCCCAAGACATCCCTGTTGGCTTCATTTCTTCAAGAAAGAAGACTCCGCCTCCAGGTCTGTCTTGGGCACCCTCTCTTCTGCTTCTCCTGGGAGTTCCACTCAAGCGACAGGCGTGTCACATTTTGGTGAGCCCTTTGCCGTGTGTCCCACCCAGCGCCACTTCCTCCTTATTTGCACTGTCATAGACTCCTGCCTTGCAATCATAGTGTATTTGTTGCATACAAAAGCCTTGCACAAAAGTTTAAAAATCGAATTTGTTAACCTGTGTGAAAGCTGGAAATTAATATCATTTGACAAAAAAAAAATAAGCATGAGTATGTTCTAATGTCTGTTTAATTTTAACTGAAATTTCATTGAGTTAGCTTTAAAAGAAGATGAATTGGCAGATAAAGTTGGAAGTATATATACGATGTTTTAGAGCAGACAAGAAAAGACTTCATTCTTGTGCGGTGTTTCTTTCAAACTTCTCTCAGGGGAAGGCGGCGGGCACTGGTACAAGTATATATTTTCAATAAAAATCGTTTCATTCGGGGAAGGGGGGGGGGGGGAATGCCCGAAAGAAACACTGCACTTGTTTAATATCCAGACAAAAAAAATGGATACAGAATTTTCAACCACCCCAGTAAGAAAATTATCAATAACATACAGGACCTACACTAGGCCTAACTAACAACTAAAACTGTGTTGTTTACTTGTAAACAAAGCAGGCGCTTCATTTCTTGGATCATATAGTTGTTATAACGCGAGTTCGTCCACACTTCTCCCCAGACGCCCCAGGTCGTGCTGAATGAAAGCCTTAAATGTATGTTAATCACCCTCCGAAAAAAGTATAGTGAGGTAGATTATATCTCTGGAGCCACCGGTTACCTGCACTACGCAGGGGTGCCGGGTGCGGTCATCGAATGTCGTGTCCCTATTGTAGGTGGCTCTTGAAAACTAATTGGGGGGGGGGGGGGGGCAAGGTTATTCCGCCCCTGACATGGGTCGAGCGTCGGGTAGGTCGTAGTGGTTGCTCTTCTGACCAGATCCACGTTTGACGAGGCGATTTGGTGCTGTGTGGAGTGGTGGGTTCAATCGGTTCCTGTCTGACTTTAACGACTTTGTAAACGACTGTTTATAGTTTATATAGCGATTTCAATTTTCATTAACTATGCCTGCATCCAACGCCTCGTCATGTTGTTTATATCAAGGCCTAGGCCTAATCAAGATCATGATTTGATCTACATTTAGTTTAGAAATCTAGATCTAGCAACAAATCTTAGCATACAAAAAATCTGGACAAGCCCTAGATCTACTTTCGATTGCTATGTCGTGGATAATTAAAAAAGCGAAAGTAGAGCAGAACATCATTACATAATTTGTATTACTTGATAATACTTATTTTAAAAGATATTTTATGTTGATAAATGGCTAAAAAGTAAATACATATTCGATCTAATCAATTTTGTGTAAGCGTTATTGTTGTAGCTGTTTAATTTGTAGTGATAACTTGTAAAATATTTGCTAAAAACTAAAAGAAATGAAAAGTTTGTTAAAAAATTAAACAAGGGACAAGCTGTGACCCTGAGTCAGTGAGTGACTGAGGAGATCATAAATAAATAATAAATACTATCCAGTATTCAGTAAATATTCTAGAATCTAGATCTAGATTCACAAAAAAAAAAAATATTGAAAATGTGACCCGTGACTTACTGACTACACTACTCTACTTAGTACTTGAGTCTACTGGTTGTGTCATGTGTGAATGTGACCAGGAGAATAGAATGACATGAGTACTGAGTAGATCATGTTAAAGTTAAATGAATCATAATCTACTCTATTCTAATGAAATGATGATACTCCTCTAATGATCTAATTCTAATCAATCTCTATAGTTATAGTTATAGTTTCTCTAGATTCTAGACCTAGGGCAGGGTAATCTAGAATCTAGACTAAAGTAAAGGTATTGATTGACTCAATTATCTCAATACTATTGAGATTTAAACTTTTAAAAATTAAACTAAGTAATTATTTTGAATTGTTGCATAAAATGTGTCATTAAAATAAATACAAATAGATAGGCCTACTCATGGTTTTCTTTCAGTTTCTCAATTTTGTCAACCTGATTTAAGTGATTATTAGTAAAGCTTTGTGAAAACCGACTGCTTTAATTTCATTTTTTCACTTTTACTAGCATTAATCAATTATAACAGACCACACCACTATCTTACAAAACCAATATTTCCCTCACAATTACAGTGGCTTAAAAAGGGTAAAAAAATTCAAACTACAACTTTTTTTTTCAGTTTTACATTGACATCATAAAAACAGCAACACTCTTTAAAGCAAAGTTAACATCAAAAGTGGGTCCTCTTTATTGAAAGGAAAAATGGCAGAGGGGGGGAAGAAAGGTAAGTTCATAATAAGTATATTTCTTTGTTTTACTTTTATACCCACCCATAATCGTATCATATTATCTTGTGGTGTTAGCTAGTAGGAATCAACCCTAATCTTGTAGTTTGGCAAGCCTAACAGTCAGGTTAATCATCTGGTTAGTTCATAAATTTGATTTATCCCCGTGTGGCTAATTGATAAGAATTCTGTTATAATTCTGAAGATGTGGTCAATTCTTCAAATTTACACGTTTTGAAGACAATGAGTTCACTTGCTCTGATAGGTCCCTGACTTTAGCCCGGGAAAGCAAAAGTAGTAGGGTATTGTGCTCAGAGTTTCTTCCAGGCATCTCTTCGGGGGGGGGGGGGGGGGGGGGGTTTGGCCCCCCCCCCCTGAGAAAAAAGTCTGGAAGAAACACTGATTGTGCTGACTATGTTATCACTACTTGACGTACTTTGGTCAGACAAAACAGATTAACTCTACTTCATCTACCATATGGGCTGTCTTGTTTGAAAGGGTACTTTTACATTTTAATATAAGTGTTTTATTTTTTTCAGATGTTGACAATTCTTTATGCCAAGAACCAAAGGCTCCTTTTAGAATTGCAGAAGGGGAAGACTTGCAGGAACAAGAGAATGAACTGTTTGCCTTGGAGGCAATCTATGAAACGGAAGATTTAGAAATCTGCAAACATGACAATGCTAGTGGTCATCCTCCAGGTATAATGTCGCAATTTTAAAATTTATCAGTTTGTCTTCTTACAAAAAAATATTGTACATATTTTATTCTTGCATCTTCAGTTCAGCTTGTATTGTTATGTTATAATGCTAATTTACATTAAAAAACTATGATTAATGTATTTAATAAACATTATGTTTCAGTTCTGTCTAATGAACTGCATTTTTCCCTTTTTCCCGTCTAGGAGGTATATTTAACATTCCTATTAAAACTCCAGAAGATTTTTATGTAAAAGTCACCAAAGATCTCCATCAGATAAAGCTTATGGCATTTTGTAAGTAGGAAATTTTACACTATTGATAAAAAATGTGTCTAGCAGATTGGACGCTTGCTAACCTGAAAGTGAGTTTAGTCTGGTGTGTTGACAATAAGTCATCCTCTGTGCAAACTGTCCCTCAGGCCTAGTAAAAACTGCTGGAAACAGAAGAGCTACACTGCTAGCTGTACAGGTACAGGTTGATTCTACATCATATTGTGGTCCATCTGGCTTAAGAGCAGTTAGAGCACTTGATTCCAAAACTCAAGTTTGATTCCAGGGCTTGAGTTTGCAGGACCTTCTTTAGTCAGTGCAGCTCTGATAGGATTTCCTGACTGAAGTCAGGTGAAGAATTGTGCCATGGTTATAGTCAGAATGTCACTGTTGAGTGATAGAGCAATTGATGCTAACTCTAAAGTCTCAAGTTTGGTTCTGGGGCTTGAGTTTGTAGGACCTCTCCCCCTCCACTCAGCTTTGATAGGATTTCCTGCCTCAAAGCGGGGAAAGTAAAGGCAGCTGTGAATAGTAACACCATCAATCCCTTCATATGCCCATGGTAAAGAAACAGATAAACTCTACTTCATCTACTCTAAAAGGGCACTATACTCATACCTTCAATCATAGTAGTATGCAATTTTTTAAGTAAAAATCTCAAAATGTAGCACGTGTGAAGTTGATAGTGACAGCTATTTTTCCATTCATGGATTAAAAATAGATAAAATACTAGTCACAAATGTATTACAGTATAAAACAAATTATTACACATTTTTTTGTCATGTATGATTTTTTGTGGTTTTACCCCTATCAATGTAATTTTAAATTCTTTGTTATGTATTGGAGATTACAGACAACCAGAAATAAAAATTTGCCTTACCAATCACCAGCTGCTGTCAGAGGGCGTGGCTGGAAAGAAAAAATCAACCAGCGCGCGGCCCAGCGGAAGAAAGAAAATGAGAATTGTGAATCCTCTGAGAGTCCAGCCAAACCAGGATCACAACCGCAGCCTCTGTACCTGGTTAAAAGGCTCCCACCAATCACACTCAACTTTTCGTTTCCACATGACTACCCCTCGGTCAGCCCTCCAAACTTTACTCTCTCCTGCTGTTGGCTGGAGAAAAAAAATGTAAGTCTCAATTAAATAAGTTTTTTTTACTATAGTTTTGTTTGGTTACTGATATTAGTGTGTGTTCTGTTAAACAAATTCTGACTACTTGATAAATACTTAGGTATAACACCATAATAATAATAACTATATCACTCAGACATTATTTAAATCCCTTGATTTTTTTTCTGTGATGTGTGATAAAAAGAAACTCATTTCAGAATTTTTAAAATAAAATAAAAATCTACAACTTTGTTTCCAGTTTATTTTTAAATTGAAAGCCTAGCTAGAAATCTGTTGTTTCAGCAATACAAATTTAGTTAAGCTTCTATTCTATGCCAAATTACTTTAAAACATTGAATTAAGAATTTCTGTTGGTAATTTGGGTCTAAAGGTTTATCAGGACATGAATTTAAATATATGAGTCTTATAATAAGTAAACTAAAGTACCTTGGTAGTCACCACTGGGTAGCTGAAGTAGAACTGATCTATTTTTGATTGTATAGTTATCACTATTTTTTATATTTTCTTACAATTTAACTCTTATTAGTGTTGTTATCTTTGAAATAAAGTTTTGTTTTTGTGCAATGTTCAAAATTTAAAGTATGAAAAATATTTTTTTCAACTAGTTAACCAAGCTGTGTGAGAAATTAGATGAAATTTGGACAAGATATGCAGGCTCACCCATAATATCTGTCTGGCATGATTTCTTGTATCACGAAGTCATTCAGTTTCTAGGTACCAATTTTTTCATAGTTATGTTTTAGTAGGTAGCTTACTGAAATATTTGTTATACCTTTTATGTATTTTTGCCATTAAAGCTAATTCACCCTTGAAAAGTATTTATTGGCTATACACAACGGCAGTAAGAAAATGTAACTTCATTTTTATTATTATTTTTTTTTATAAAAAGAAAAATAACAGCCTAGTAATAGTTATAATTTTGAGTAGCGTTTCTTTTATATAACATGCTACATTGATTGCTTTTTTTTCTAAATAACTTTTAGAAATAAAATCCCCGTATGATCTTGGTCGAGTTCTAGTCCATCTTTTTACACATCCTCCTGGGTATGAAAAGAAAAACTACAGCTTTATGGCGCCCAGGCCTTTTGACTGGAGAGGTGTTCAGACATTTGGCAATATTGATGAAGTTTTACCAGCGGTGAGTTAGCAGCATTTAGTCAGGTTTTTCTTACAATTCTTTGATGTTTTCTTGTTACTATATGACAATCAGAGGATTTACCATGTTAACCATCAGAAAGTTGTGTAAAAGTTTATTGTTTGATTATATTCCAGGTTCTAGATTTTAAACTTTAATACCTGTGATGTTTACATCAGAAGATAGTTTAGAAGCTTATTTCTTGTTTTGTTATATTCCAGGTTCTAGATTTTAACCTTACATCCTGTGATGTTTACATCAGAAGGTTGCTTAGAAGCTTATTTCTTGTTTTGTTATATTCCAGGTTCTAGATTTTAACCTTACCACCTGTAATGTTTACATCAGAAGGTTTTTTAGAAGCTTATTTCTTGCTTTGTTATATTCCAGGTTCTAGATTTTAACCTTACCACCTGTGATGTTTGCATGGAGGAGAAACCTGGCCACCAGTTTTTAAGACTGGTGAACTGCACAGAGCACAGGACGTGTAAGCTGTGTACACAGGGCTGGCTGGAAGCCATGATTAAAGATGGCGCTGTCAGCGACCTGCGCTGTCCTGGGTACAAGTGTGAGAAATCCATTTTACCTACTGAGGTTAGTGCTGATATCCATTTTACCTACTGAGGTTAGTGCTGATATCTATTTAATTTAGTGAGGTTAGTGCTGATATCTATTTTACCTGCTGAGGTTAGTGCTAATATATATTTTACCTACTGAGGTTAGTGCTAATATATATTTTACCTACTGAGGTTAGTGCTAATATATATTTTACCTACTGAGGTTAGTGCTAATATATATTTTACCTACTGAGGTTAGTGCTAATATCTATTTAATTTAGTGAGGTTAGTGCTGATATCCATTTTACCTACTGAGGTTAGGGCTAATATCTATTTTACCTACTGAGGTTAGTGAAAAATTTCTTTTACATGTGATATTCCTGCAAATAGAAGAATTGTTTTAAAAAAGGTTTTAGGAAATTTTAATTTTTAAATATTCAAGCCTTGTAATTGGCTTATGATTCTTGCCATGAGGTAGGAGGATTTAATATATTCCACAAAATGTCTATCTGTGCATGAATGAAAAATAGTGATTGTGTATCACCCTATTGTGTTGAGTACTACAGATTCTCTATGTTTATGTTTGGTATATGACATTAATGAAAATTCAGTCTTTACACCAATGTCAGGGCAGCTCATATGACACTGTTTGGTTAGTTGTGTGGTTGTAACCTGGGTCAATATTAGTAACCCAAGTTTTATAATCCATACGCACCACTGTGTGAACTAAAATAGTTTCTATTTTCAGGTGGCAGCTGTTGTTTCTAAAGAGCTGTACGAGCGCTATGAGAAACTCTTGCTGAAAACAGCTTTTGACATCATGCCAGATGTGATGATTTGCCCCCGGACGTTTTGTCAGTTTCCTGTGGTCATTGAGGACAATTTAGGCCTGTGTCCCAACTGTAAACATGCATTTTGTGGTCGGTGTCAAAACACGTATCATGGTCACTCACCTTGCAAGCTTAAGTCAGGTTGGTCAAGCTGTAGTCTGTTACGTCAGGTTGGTCAGTTTGTAGTCTGATGTTGAGTCAGGTTGTAGTCTGATGTTGAGTGAGGTTGTAGTCTGATGATGAGTCAGGTTGTAGTCTGATGTTGAGTCTGGTTGTTAAGGTTTGGTACTTTATGAAAACTGACTAGGTGTAATGAACTTTTTTAAAAAGCAATTCTACCCTCACGCTGGCTATATTACTACAATAAATTTAATTATGACCCTAGTCTTTAGCAAATCAAACATAAAAATAAAAACTTTGATACTGTACAATGATGTATTTTCCTGCCAGATTTCTTAGAAAATATATATTTCAATTTTCTTTATTCAGTTTAATTAACGTTATGGTTTTCATAAATAGTGTTAGTAAAATGATAAAATATGAACAAAATCTAAAAAAAAATATTTTGTGTTTTGTAAACAGAAATGTTTGCCCTGAATGTTAAATATTTGTGAACAGAAATGTTTGCCCTGCTGGTTAACGAGTACGAGTCGAGCACAGCAGAGAGAAGGCAAGAGCTAGAGATGAGGTATGGGAAGATGGTCATCCAGCGTGCCTTGGAGGAAACCAAGTCCAACAAATGGCTCGAGACAAACAGCAAGCAGTGTCCTTGTTGCAGCACTTTCATACAGGTAGGCTTGTTCTGCTGGCAGGTGTAGTATGCACGCAGGTATTTGAAAATATAGGCAAATTCTACAGGTCGTGCATGCTGCAGTCAGATGTGGTATGCAGTTTGAGGTTCTGTACAGGATGAAATATTTCAGTGTGCTTGTACAGGCCAAAATTTTAGTAGACTCCGAATTTTAGAGATAAGTGTCTAGCTCTCATTTTTAAATTAACATTGGTTAGAAAATAATTTAGCAAAAATGTCTGTTGTAAACTTTTGGATTTAAAAAAAACAACAGAACAGTTAATTACTAAAACAAGGATTTTTTAATGGAAGAAGTTTTAACCCCTACTAGCAATTTTAAATTGTTTTCCATTCTAACATCTTTCTCAAGACCAATGTGGTATATCCATATATCACAGACATTAAAAGCAAATGATTAAAGTATATTTTATTTGGCTTAATGTTATGTACAAAGTGTGAACGTTGCATGCCTATTTGTTTGTTTTAACATGTTAAATATTTTATTTGTTACTAACATACTAAAAGATGACTACATAAAAAATTTGTAATCTCTTTACCATGCATGAGTTCACTTGAACTTATTGGTTTTCTCTTAAGCCAATAATGTTTAAAAGGTAAGATAAGATACCTACACCTGGATGGTTAAATTCTCATTATTGAAGTAGATAGAATTAGGTGATAGCCCTTCAATGGTGTAAATAATATCACATTGACAAGTGCTTTCTTTTAATACATGAATTGAATTTAATGAATAAATCAAATACATGATTTAAAAAATTTCCAACATCAAATTTATTTTAAAAATAAATATCTAAAAAATTATAGAAGTGATTGAACAAAGGAAAAATTTAATTAATAAGTTGTTTCATGTTTCTTCACTTTTGTTTTCTGTTTTTGGGTTTAAAAAACCCCCCAGACAAATCAGTTAAATTCAATAGAGGTAAGTCTAAATGATCAGAGTGTTAATCGCTTGAAGCCCAAGATAACCTCCACTGTGAAATGTTTTACCTGACTGTGTTGTTGGTGCACCGCAGAAAAAAGACGGATGCAACAAGATGGTGTGTTCCAACTGCCGTGCCTTCTTCTGTTGGCTGTGCCAACAAGAGCTGTCCAAGGCCAACCCTTACGCCCACTACCAGCACCCAACCTCAGCTTGCTCCAACAGACTCTTTGAGGGGGTGGAGATCCACGATGAGATTCTGGAGTTTCTTGATGAACTTGATTCTAGTGAGGATGAAGACGATGATGATGAAGATGAAGTGGATGTTGATCGTTTGTAGCACCAAGGGTCAAAATGTAAGTGGGTTGAATCATCCTAGCTGGTGTGTAGGCTCCATAACATCCTCAACTGATTCACCTCCATCAAGTCATTCATTTCTTATACTGGATCATGTTTTCCTTACACTGGATAATTTCTTCTCTTGTTGGATAATTTATTTATTATACTGGATCCATGATTTATTATACTGGATCCATGATTTATCATACTGGATCCATGATTTATCATACTGGATCCATGATTTATCATACTGGATCCATGATTTATCATACTGGATCCATGATTTATTATGCTGGATCCATGATTTATCATACTGGATCCATGATTTATCATGCTGGATCAATTATTTCTTATACTGGATCATTTTAATCTCATGCTATATTATTTGCCATTCTGGATCTGTTTTTCATTGTGCTTAAGCATGTATTTTTCATTTTTTTGTTTGCTTTCAAACATATCATTTTGCTTTTTATTTTGAGTTTTGTTTTAAAATTGTTAAAAGTTTCTTTGAAGTATTAGCTTAAATAAATAAATGAGGTGGTGATGTTAGTGTCCTTATTATCAATCGATGTCATTATTATTGTGTATTTTTTTTGGGCAATGGCTTTTTAATTCTATATTATTCTATATTATTTATTGTTTGTACTTTTCTGGATTCGTTTTCCGTTTGACTGTGAAAGTTTTTACTTTCCTTGTGTGTTCTCTATGGTTATAGCGTTCCCAACAGATAATGATAGAATAGTGAAACTATTATTTAACTTAACGTTATAATAATATGAACTACCCTTGCTCATCAAGTCAAAAAATGGTAATGAAATTTTATTCGATGGAAGTCAAAAACATTAAATTTGAAACAAATTTACTTTTAAGCTGTAAAATAATCTTTTTTTTTCTCTTTATTTAGAAATTTGAAGGATGCAATCGTATGCAATGTTTCACCTGTGGTCAGAGCTTCTGCTACCTTTGTGGTGTGTTGTTGTCGAAGAAAGATCCTTATAGCCATTTCTCTGATGAAACAAAGCAGTGTGCTGGCAGGCTCTTTGAAGGCACCAACACAGAAATTTTTAACATACTGAATTACCTGCAAGAAGTTGAGGATGGAATGTTTGAAGATGCTGCTGTGTAAATCTTGTCAATTATTCAAACAGTTATTTTTTTTTTTACCAATGTTGCAACTTCTAGGGTTTTTGTCAATATACCCAAATACAAGTCAAGGGTATGTTTTGTTGAGACATCTTATTTCAATTTAGTTGCATAATCACTAAAATACTTTGATTATTAGGATCTCTGTTATTTTAATTAATTTGCAGAATTTGATGCATTTTGATGCCATAAATATAAAATAATGAAAACATTTAATCTTGATGAACTATTAACATCATAAAAATTGAATAAAACTTGTCTCCCCCTCATGGCTTAGTGGATCATTGTGTATCGAAGTTTGTCTGGAGTTAACTTCTATACAATTTGCATGTTGAAATTTTGGTGTTCAAAACTTTGTTCAAGTTGACTAAGCAAAAGAAGGTTAATTAATGTATTGTTAAAGAGATAATTTTTGTTTTGTTGTTGTTATCATATTCTATTTCAATTATATATTCTTATAATCTTTTTTATACTACGTACAACTCTAAGAGTCTTATTAAATACAGAGCACACTATGGTGCAACAAAACATTTTTAAATAAACTGGAAAAGCTCAGAAGCTATTTAAAAAAATGCATTTTTTACAATAGAAGATAGAAAACAATTTTAATACTTTACACTACTTTTTTTTATTATGGGAGATGTGATATACATGTGTTATAAACTGTGACCTAATAGTGACTTGTTAAGTAACCTACCTCTCTGGTAAGCTAATAATTAATTGTCTTTAACACAAGGTACCTAAGTTGAAATAAAGCAAAATGTGATTACAGAATTTTTTTTTGTACGCTTATTTTTGGTATTTTTTATGCAGCGGTGAACAGAAAAATAAATTCTGGCACAAATGATTTTTTTTCCTCTCAAATTTATAACATTTTTTTCCTTTAAATTTTTAATCTAATATTTTTAAAGCAAAAATAAATAAATCAAGAATTTTGTTAAATAATTTTTATTTTTTTTGCCTTGTTCCTGTACTGTAGCATTAGGCTACTGTTTTCTGTTTGTTATTTATTTATAGCATTTGAATAAAGTATGAAATTATGGAATGTCTATCCTACTAGAATAATAAAAACTAATTTATTCTTAATTGTTTTTTTTTTTAAAATTGCCTCAACCTAGATACAAGCCACCATAGTTGCTTCTATACTTCTAAGTACACATCCACAAGCCATTATTCCATAAATTTTTTAAGTCAGCTTCAGTTTTATGTTATCTGAGAATAATCTTGGATAGTGTCATTTTCCACTTTGATGGCTTCATTTATCTTTGGGTCAGAAATATATGTAAAAAATAAAACCATCAATAATATGCAAATAAAATTATCAATGATATGTTTATCATAAGGGTTCAAACTCTAGCCACAACATCCCTACAACACAGCTCTAACAGTTTAGAACTTAGTGGTGCATGTGGCATATGAAGTAGAGTTCACCTGTTTCTTTGACCTCGGAATATGAAGTGATAATGTGGTCGGTACTTTAATTATACCAGTCAAGTACCCATCAGAACTGGGTAAACCCAGCGATGTCCTAATGACTTGAGCCCAGGATCCAAACTCAAGGTTTAGCAGTTATATTTAACTTTTAAGCTGTTCCTGCAAGTTTTAAAGAGATAGATGAGTAGCTAGATAACATGCTGCAATGCCATTTTCAGCTCAAATCTGAGCACTTCCTGCAGTCTTTATGGCAAATCTGTTAAGAAAATCTAAATTTTATATGTAGGAGAGCTAGGGTAAGAAAGCAAATCTTGGATGAAAATTAAGGGGGTCAGTGTGGTCAAGCTCATGGTTGCTAAACCGAACAAAGTCTCGAGTACAAATTCTCAAGCAGATGAGGCTCGTTAGCTGGGGACAGCCACTCTTCTAGGAGAGACAACTCCACAATCAAACAACTTCTGCCTTGTAGTTTGTTCTTGGTTGGACAAAGGCTGGAAGCAAATCCAAAAAGAAAAGCAGGCTGAAATATAAGTCAATGCCCTCAATGGCGCATAAACAGTTGACACGTATACTTGTGCTGGAGGGGGATCCCTTCCAACACTAAAATTAAGAACAAAGAAGAAGGAATGAAAATTAGTTTGGTTATGTGTGTATATTTTAAAACAATAAAATTGTATGACTAAAAAGAATTGTGAATCAAATGAACGCAAATACTTAATCTATAATAGCTTGGGAAAAGTAGCACCGATTGATTCTTTAAAAATTTATTAAGCACCCAATTAAGTAAAACTGGCTGTCATATTGCATTGTAATTGGGCCTTGAACCCCGTGCCAAGTTTAAAACAAATCAGTTCGGAAGAAGTAGTCAAAATTTTGCTCAGCAGTTTCCACCCATGATGGATGGACAAAGAGAGAAGAAGCAAGCTAAATAAAGGCTTGTACTAATGTCACCAGTCATGCTCTGTTTTACAGAAAAAAATAATAGTTTTAACTTGAACTGGGCAGATCTTCTTGGGTGAACTTCAGATATCTTAAAGGCCATAAACCAGTCAAATTAAAGATCACGAGGTTAAATAAATTAGTAGCTGAATGTTAGCCAGTGGATCTGACATATATTTCAAAATTGAAGAATTTAAAAAAATAAAGTATCAGCCCAAAATTAGCTGAGTTTTATTTTACTTTTAATTATTTTAAATCATAGAACATACAATAAGTTACTGCAATGTGTAGTATCTGATTGGTTATTTAAAAAAAACCCATCTAATAAAAAAGTTTCTTATAAAGAAAAAAAAACATGAATGAGTGCTTTTGATTCATAGTTGGTAGCCTGTAATTGGGTATTGACTATCCCTTTATTAGCAAAGCTTCATCAACTCTTACTGGCATATCTGTGTACAGCTAGGGACTAGAAGTAGAAGAATGTATTTTAACAAATATGCTCTCTACAAATTTCATTCAATTCCATTCCATATAGGAACCAGCCTGTTGTATCAGGTTCCTTATACTTACAACACCAATGCCATCTCAATCAATAGAAGAAACAAAATAAAAATACCTCTGATCATTAAAATCAAATTTTTTTTTTATTACAAAAAAATGCATCTAACAATTGAAAGTCAACAAAATTATTAAATCCAGTGCTGAAAGCAACAAATGAAAATATTTCAATACAGTTTTGGTAGGGATTAACTTAATTATTTTATCTGATCCCTTTATTAGGCCTGTAATTGACCAAGAAATGACAACCAATTGGTTAGGGGTTTTAGTAGACCTCAACATATAATAAACCAGCCCCCCCTGCAATCAGGTAATCAAAAGTAATTATCTATAATGTGGAGACTGGTTGTTCCATATTTAGTACCATATTTAGTAAAGTCAAACAACCTTCACTGTAAAAGAGCTACAGTGATCTAAATACGTCTATAGTAGCAAGCTCAATGTCTGGGTAGAAATATGGCTGAAAAATTTTCTAACTTTCAGTCAAACACAATTTTTAATGGCATGTTTGGCCAGAGCTTTGGCTGGAATTTGTCTGAGATTCTGTCAAACATCATCTGAAGGGCCGTCTCCATACCATGAATCATGGGGGCCCCTGCTCCGTAGATCTCCTTCATCTCATGTGATCTTCTGGCACCAGGACGTTCTATTGGCGCCTTCACACTACGACTGCTCATGCCCTTTTTGGCTGAAATAAATTTGTTTACAACATTCACATCAAACACAGCAGCAAACAAAAGCATGGAAAGATACAAATATGTTTAAATCGATACAGCAATTGCGCTGAATAGGACGCCAAGAGAGAAAAATGACAAGAAAGGCTAAGGAAGAGGGGGAGATGCTTAGCAGAAAAACAACAATAAGAGGTGGACAATCTTGGGGGACTACAAAGAAAGTTGACAGACAGGCAGAAGTTGACAGAAATTTTTGTAACTCTTCCAAGTCGCCTGGACGGAGTGGTCTAGCGGTAGAAAGCTGGACTGCTAACCCGTAAGTCTCAAGCTCGAATCCGGGTTCAAGTAAGTAGACCGTCCCTGAGTCCACCCAACTCTGATGGGTACCTAACTCACGTTAGGGAAAGTAAAGGCGGCTGGGCATAGTGCTGACCACACTAACTCTTCATATGCCGAGGTCACAGAAACAAGTGAACTCTACTTCACTTGCCCCATAGACCGTCAGGTTTGAACGGGAAACTTTACTTACTTTACCATGTGTCCTGGGCACAAATGTAATAGGATGATGTTTAATTGACTAACGAGAATAACCAGCATAACTATTCAGAACTAACTTACAAAGCAAACTACATTATCCATACAGTAATAATTTATTTTACTTTCATTCTTGCTTTTTACACATTTTGAATCACTAAAGGTAAAAGAATGATTTCATTACATTCTTATTGATACAGGATAGTATTATGAAAAAAAGCAGGATAAGGCAAAAATAGCAAAAAACAAAACCACTTACTTTCTTCAATGTTAATTCTTTCTTCTATTTCCTTTCCAGATTCATCTAGTTTGGCATTATCTGTGAATAAGAATTGGCTCTATGTTAATGATAATTAAAAAACAGAACTCCTTTATAATTACACTTGTTTAGGTTAATGGTGAGCTGGACTTTAATGCAATAGAAAACCTTTCAAACAAGTTCATTATTTACGACAACAAAAGTTCACCTCTTTCAATTTTGTGTTTCAAGGACGTAGCAAAGAACTGAACCATCTCATCTGTGATTTCCATCTCCAGTTCTTCCTCTTCTGCCTCGTCACTCTTGACTGCCCTGCTTGTTGATGACGAGCCCCCAGAATCTGTCTTAGTTACCTCATCTGATTCTGCAGCTGATATGGAAAGGCTGCCAGATTCTAGTGAATCTTGACGAGACTTTGCTCTTGCCATTCGTCTCTTTCTATAAAAATAGATTAGAATGTTTGTTAGAAAAAGTATTATTATTCTCAGAGATTTAGAACACCAATTTTCCAGGGAGTCATCTCTTAAACAACAATCACATACAACTAAACATGTTAATATTTCCACATGAAAAAAAGATGAAAGATCCTTAAAATGGTTAATCAGTTACCATTTCCTCAATAATACTTTTCATTTACATTTTCTTGAAGAGCTTTACAATTTTAATTTTAAAAAAAATTAATCACCTGGCACGTTTTATTCGTCTGTTTTTCTTAGAGCCATGGGGCTGTGACTTCCTGTGTAAACTTGGGTGACCATAATGCTGTGAAAAAGCCCACTGTGAACCCCCTAACCCTTGTAAGGTTTTGACAGCATGGACATGCTGTCTGTACCAGTCCATGACAAAGTTATAATGAGTCCAATAGTGATCAAAGCACCTCGCCTTAAACCACGCTGAGCCAGTCATGTCAGGGTGGTAAGGGCGCTGGACATCAGTGTCATCTGTTTCATCGGATTCAATATCACTTTTATTTTCTATGATTTCATCTGCATTTGGTTTTGAGGAATTGTTTTTGTTTTCTTGTATGCTACTAGTGTCTGAGTAGTCGGTACTAAGTTTGTTGTCTACATCATCAAAACCTAAATTGTCCTTACAGAGTGAAGAAAGATTGTTCCAAGCATGAGGAATAAAGTATTCTAGTGTGGGGAATTGCTTTCTCCTTTTTTTAGATTCTGGATCAACAGAACCCAGTGGTAATGGGTTTGATCCATATGGAAAAAGAGGTGCTTCATTGGTCCGAGATGGAATTGAACTAGAAAAGACAAAATTTGGATCCGTTGTTGCTACCGGTGTTATGGCTTCATAGCCATCAACCACTGCATCATGAGAAGACATATCTTGTCCTGTATTGACAGATGTCTTTTTAATTTTACCTATTTTATCCATTCTGTCTAAATGTCTTTTTTTCTTAGGACTTGGTGCTACCTTCTCTGTGTTTGAAATAGAAATGTTAATTAATCCAGGTGTTAGTTTGTCATCTGTGTCTGTACTACTCAGAAGAGATGATGTTACGTTTGAAACAGATTCTGTTGTGTCAGACTCTGAATCAGCAGATGTATCTTCTTCTGTCACAGAGGTCATTGAACTAGTTTGTCCCTTTTCCGCCATCATGATTTCTTATCTGATTAAAGAAGTAATTCATACATACAATAATTAGGATCAATAATAATAAGTGTAATAACTTATATTTAAGTAATTAAAAAATGTGGGCTAGCTAAAGAAATGTAATCTATTTAAAATTTAACATATCGGGTAGCCTACTAGAAACAAGTACTTGTTACTCCTGTTAGGTATTAGGTACTCTTGTTCCTTGGGAAGGCCAATTGAATTGTTTTTTTGCATGAAATTTTACCTCAACTTCTTGAGTAAGTTATAGTGCTGAACTTATAGGCCTATGGCCTGGCCTATAGAGTAGAAGACTCTATAATTGGTAAAATCACGATATAGCGTCGGTTATTATTCCGGAACTGTACAGCAGTAAAAAACAGTAAAACCATGGCGTAGTCTGTCGAGCCGTTCCGGAAACCACCGGAAATACTGTAAACCATCATTTATTTGCCGCCATATTATTTTTAATACATAATGTTTAAAAATGTGCAAGGATTGATTTTAGTTGCATTTTAAATACTGTTTTGCTAATTATTTTGTATTTCTAATTATTTTAAGTGTATGTGCTAATTATTGCTGCTACTAAACATTATTCTAGTTATTCTTACTACTTTTAACTTTTAATCGTCTTATTTTACTAACAGAACAAGAGCTGGTTGTCGCAAATCTTCTGCAGGTTTTTTCTGTTTCTTAAAAAAAAATAATTAATTACTACACTCGAGTTTATTAATAATATTTAGATTTTCTATCTGTTATTAATTTTCTGTCAATTAAACTGTAAATTAAGCTAAAACATTAATTTAATGCACTTGACTTTATTTTTATTTCACCGGTCAAATAAACTATGGTTTACAGTAACGAATGTTACCGAAACTCAACGAACATTACCCAATAATTTCCGACGCTATATCGTGATTTTACCCTATAATTTACTCTAGATCTATATATTAGTATATAGGCCTATATAATAAAATATAGGCCTATAGGGGGATAGGCCTATAAGTAAGTATTAGTTAATAGTAAGTAAGTAAGTAGTACTTTTGCTATAGAATAGATCTGATTTTTTTTTTTATTAAAACTACCCACGACCCTGTCGTACATCATTGTAGTTACTAGTTAGGGATATTAGATTTAGATTCTAGTTGGCATATCATTAAAACACAATTTCCCATCTAAATCCCTCAGGAAAGCGAAATCCCCAACGTCCAACACAAGTTCAGCAACAGCAACACTGGCCAACAAGGCAACAACATCATCTGTCACACTCACAGCTTCTTCTCAATCTTCTGAGCTTATTTATAATATTCCATGGTATTAATCTGCAAATTTACCTTTGGGTTTACTAAATCTAGTAATCTAGTTGTTTACGTATTTAATTTTAAGATATAGAAGTCTAAATAAAGAAAATATATGAGTTCTCTCTAGATCTACAATTTTAATTTATACACGACTTCGAACTTTCATTTCACGTTTAATAAAATTTGTAAACATCCGAGTTATCGGTCGCACTATCTCCCAGAAACATTCAACATGTACCAAATACTTGAATACAAGATCAGCTAGCTCTAGATTGTAAATATTATATAAAATAAGCAGACGCTGAAAATAAAGTGACTAAGTCTGTATTGAATTTTATGGATGTAAGTTTTATTATGATTTAGATCTATAATCAAAGGCTTAGCCGTAACTGGTTTATTAGTCCTCACTATTTAGTACTATTTAGTATTTACTACTATTTAGCCAAATGCCAAAGATGTCTTAGTAAGTTTTTAATTTTTTTATCTGGCAACCCATGAAGGTAAAAGTGTTTATGAGATCTACTCAAGTAGGCCCTATAATGTAGATTTTATATTAGTATAAGTATTAATAAATGAAGATAGATCAAGATCTAGTGTTAGTATAGACTGTGTAGTGTATAGTACTATAGAGTACACAACACTATTATTAACCTATTAGTAACTTATTACATTAGATCTGCTACTTTCTGCTAGTTTATTAGTACATAAAAGTTAAAAGTACTACTAATTAATTATTATTATACTATTTTTATATTTTATAGTAATTATTTAATAATAAGTCAATAAATTATTCAATAGGCCACTATATAATATAGATTTTATATGATTTATAATATATAATATTAAATAATAAATAATTTATTAATATAGGCCTATCAGTTATAGTCATTTATTAGTAATTTAGTACAGTACAACCTATCACCCCCCCCACCCGTCATCACAAAAGCCAGACTTCCTAATTAATTAAAAAAATCCTGTAACATCTGCACCTATAAATCCCCCCCTCCCCCCCCCCCCCCCACACACACATTGCCTGTTGTATTTAACCAATAACTAATTGCACTATTTTGTTTTTTGACTTCAATTGAAAATTTAAGTGAAAGGTATAGATGTATGTGTATATATATCTATATATATATATATATATATATATATATATATATATATATATATATATATATATATATTAGTTTGCCCAATAAATTTGAAATAAAAAATCTTATATTAATGAGACATTGATAGGGCATAGGATGATTTTAGTAAACTGTATGTGCGTGTCATTTTCAAAACAACGAGATTGTATTTATTATCTTTTTTAATCCACAGTCCACCATACTGACATGTCTTTAAGAATTCAGCGTAACACAAAACTGTTTAAAGACATCTTTAACAGCATTTCCTGGTTATATGAAAAGTCACCCATAAAGAGGACTTTTATTACAAGTTGGAAAAGTAATCACTCAAGGCAACTTCACAAAAGAAAAACATTGCTAAGATATCTTTCTTTTTTTAAACAACAGAAAACAAACTTAATATGCAGTGAAAGAGCAAAATGTTTTAGTAATGTAAATTCTAAAGCACTAAACCACAAGTTACTCTCATTTCAAAAGTTTTCAAAAATATTCCGTTGCAATGTGCATAATTTACGGTTTTATATGTTTACAACACCATTATTAGTTTTGTGTCTAGAACTCAATTTAAACAAAACTGGAAGTGTATTTTTGTGTGTGGCAAATTGTGAGTCTGCTGTCCCTTCCCAAGACATACTGACTGGCGTACATGGACTACCAAAATATCCAGATGTTGAACAGTGTGCAGCCAGCAACTGGATTGCATTTAAAGACAGTTTTCTTTTATATTTAAGAGCAGCTCATCTGATTTGTGTCTTTTTCCCTTTACTAATTGGCTATCCTCTTATATGTGAGTGCAAATTTTGTTACTATCGTAGTAAAATATAATATACACATTATTTTACAATTTAAAATATAAAATCTAAAGTAATTTTTTTTCTCTTACTGAAGATAATTACATATCCTGATAATTAGAACTGACTAAAGCTGCATGCCATAAGCTGATGTTTAAAACTTTTATTAACAATAGACAAACATGTTGATATCTTTTAGATCTCAACCCATGGCTGTTCAATCAATGGTTAAAACTTTTGTATATGGCTGTTGAAAGATTGGGGGCAACTTTTATAAAGCTTGGCCAATGGGCAAGCACACGAAGAGACATATTTTCTAAAGAATTTTGTGATAAGTTTTCAAATTTGCATCACCGGGTACACCCTCATTCATGGTGGCATACAGAAAAGTCTTTAGAGCGAGCATATGGAAAGAACTGGAATGAAATAATCACATTGGATAAAAAACAGGAACCAATCGGATCAGGTTGTATAGGTCAGGTGGGCAACTTTATTTTTTTAAGCGGTGTTTGAATTAAAATAGTTTCTAAAAATGTAATTACTGTAATACTTTCGCTAACAGGTTTACAAAGGATTTATATCATCAGAATTCATCCCATCATCTTATGTAAGGGACAAAAAGGAACTGTCCAATAAACGTAAGGAGAAATAACATTTTACTAAAAGTCATAATAGCCTACACATCAGTCTGAATGTTGACTTAAATTTATTAATCTTTCTGTTTAATTAGTAAACATTTTGAAGTAGTTGTTAAATGTTAATTCCATAAGTTTAATATTTTGCACTGTGCACTGGTAGTATTAAAAACTGACAGTTTGAAAAATGTCAGTATTAATGATTGGTACTGGTAGTATTAAAAACTGACAGTTGGAAAAATGTCAGTTTAATGATTATATTTATTTAGTTTTATCATATTTTAAATAGTTTTGTATTTCTTTCAATCTTATCCCTAGATATCAAGGCTGATAATGCCAATGGTAGAGCTGATGCTGTTTTTCCTGTGGCTATAAAAGTAATGTTATAATTTATTATTTTGTTTATTTAGGCCATCTATAAAATAAAATAAAAATTACTAACAAGATTTTTGAAATATTTTTCCAGACATTTTGCTGCTAAACTATTAAAACACCCAAACTAAATCCCAGCATATAATGGTGTATATGGCAGGTGAAGTAAAGTTTCCATAACCTTGGCAAAGAAAGGGATAGTGTGGTCAATAATACAACCAGCCATCCTTACTATACCAAACACGATTCATGTACCCATCTGAGCTGAATGGACAGGGACATCCCACTGTCCATGATCCTAACCTGAGATACAGTAAGGCTGTCTCATAATTATACATGAAGTGAAGATGTCACTTGAACTTGTGTCACGCAAGTGACTTGACCAAGCAGATCCAGTCAGTGCTGTCAAACTTTAATCTCTTAAGATCTAATGTCCTTTATTAGCCTATGCAATACAAATTAAGAATGAAGAAGAAGCCTAGGCTGTTCCTGTTTTTTTAATTGTAAAAATATAAAAAAAGCCAACTTTATAATGCTAAATAATTACAAATATCCAGATTTTGCACCCAGATGTGGTAAAAACATTTGAAAGAGACTTGAGGCTAATGAAAAGTGCAGCAAAATATTTGACCAAGCTATTTCCCAAGCTACACTGGGCAAATCTCAATCAATGTGTTGAGGAGTTTGCTGTAACAATGCGTAAACAGGTTTGATGACATAGATTAAAAGTTTTATTTTCTTAGTTTGATAAGAGAATAGTTTTTTTTAACTAAAACATTATTTTTACGAATAAATAACAAAACTGATTTTTATAAAATAAATGGTTAATTTTTTCTTTAAAGCTAAAAAAAAACTTAAAACACATGACTATTTCTGTTCAGTTGGACATGGGTTATGAGTATCGATGTCTTGAAAAGTTTACCTCAGACTTCGCCTCATGTGATAACATTAGAGTACCACAACCAATAAAACATCTGTTGAGGAAGAATATTTTGGTCGAGACTTTTGAGGTAATGTATTTCTATCAGATTTAGCTTTTACTTAGTTGTAAACCATTAACAAATATAATAAAATTAGATGTTAATCATTTTACATTATCATTGTAATGACTATATAAATGTTAAAATTGAACAAATATGCTCAGCTAAAAAATATGTTTTTTAATTAATGTGGTAACTACTAAGCATTATGAGAATAATTCTAGTAAAAGATGTTTGTTTTATTAAATGCAGGAAGGAATTTGTATTGGAAATATTCTAAGAGACTCTATCTACCCAGAGGATGTGAAAATAAAACTTGCAAAGATTGGCATTGATGCATTATTTCAGATGGTAGATATTAATTCTTAAAATTGTTTTCATATTTTTAAAACCTTTAGGGTTAAACTTTTAAATCAAGAAATCCAATTGAATATTGGGATTTATTTTTTTATGATTATTGTCTTCTTATTCATGTTATTTTTCAATCACTTTGTTGTCCCCCCCTTAGTGTCATAATATAATGTACAATAGAGACATTTTAGTTTTAAACAGAATGCTAATTTAGCCCATTTTATTTGTTTAATCCCCACACCCTTTCCACTTCCTCCAAGGTGTTTGTGAACAACTTTGTTCATGCTGATCTTCACCCTGGGAATATTTTAGTTCAGAATTTGGAGTACTTTCGTGAACATGTAAGTCTGTAGATGTAAACAAAATGTGTGTACTTAAAAAGACCTGAGATCTAGAAAATGATTTTTAACTTTTTAAAACACCAATTAAAATTAAAAGACATGATAGTGAAGTTGGACTAAATACAGTAAGAAATACAGATAATCTTATTCTTAAAGAAATGAATTTAATAAAAGATTCACAAATAACCATATTTGTTGAGTATATTGGGGTAAAAATTATTGTATCCAGGACACCTCTGTTTCTCACAATGAAGAAGAAATGATGCCTTTGACAGCTGAGTCTGCTGATGAACACCCATTAAGGCTGGTTTTACTTGACTGTGGTATAACAGCTACACTAACATCTGAAGATAAACAAAAGTTTAGGGAAGTTTTTACAGCTGTGGTCAAAGGGGAAGTAAGTGTTGAAATTAAAATGTTTTGTTCATTAGGAGTATCGTTCTTAACACTGTTGTTAAACATTTTTATCTTGAATTAAAAAACATAAAAACTCTTATTAAACAAGCTTTTATATATGCACTAAAAATAAGAAAATAAAATAATTTTCTATAAATATATAGTAATGCACTATTATAATGAGTGGCACCCCTGTATATAACTATAAAGAAAAATTTGGGAGTCACATACCATGTTAGTAAATGGTAATGAATACATAGCATTGCAACCCATGTTGTTTTAATTTTAATCAAATATAATTGCATGACCAACAACGCTTGCACACAAAATGAATGCTTACTTTCCCTAACATGAATTAGGTACCCATCAGAGCTTTGTGGACTGTGAGATGTTCTACTGACTTGAACTTGGATTCAAACTTGAGACTTTTGGTTGGCAGTCGAACATTCTACTGCTAGGCCACGCTGTCCCACACTTAATATGCTAATCTTAAATTAGTTCAAAAAAATAAATTAAACACCTAGTTATGTTAAAGCAATGTCACCTTGAGTCTTTGCCTACCTGTCAAGTTTGAAATGTATCTGTATTAGTAGAAGCTGGTGAAATTTTGTTAGCAAGTTTTGACCCATGACAAGGCATGAAGAAAAAAGCAATCAAATTAAATAAAAGCTAGTAAAAACAACATTTTGTATTTCTCTGTTAGGGTGAGGCAGTTGCAGACTTATTTCTGTTCAAGTCAGCTGTGAATCTTTGTTCGAACCCTGAACTCTTTCGTAAAGAAATGGCTGGTGTAGTATCAGAGGGTAGAAAAAACTTGAAAAGTATTTCCAAGGTAAGCTAAAAATAATTATAATGAAATAGTTTCAAAAAGAGGCTAAAACATTGATAAAGTGGTGAAGTGGTTTCTCTATTTGATTAAAACAGGAAGTAGAGTTCAACATTTTAGGGCCACAGCAGTTTCTATTAGATGTTGATTGAAAAAGAGAGTTCTTTACTTAAATCAACCTAAGATCTGTGTTTTCAGAGATTCATAATTTATTAGCTGATTTGCTGCAGGTATAAATAAATTGTGGCCTCTGTAGAAGCCTGTAATATTGTAATAATTATAGCAATGTTTCTTTTTAAACCCGAATTGGACTTCAGTCTGTTATTTAATAAATAGTTTATGCTTTTGAAATGAGTTTGAACACTTTACATGCTTGTATGCTGTCCCATGGGAGACAACTTTGTGTTTGTTAGTCTACTCAGTGCATTGTAGTTTTAAATTAAAGTCGCCATTGATGTAAAAATCTTTTCAAGATTAAAGTTGCTGAACTGATGAATGAAGTATTTAATGTGCTGGCAAGACACAAGATTCAACTGGAAGCAAGTTTTGCTACAATTATTTTGGCCATCGCTATGTTGGAGGGGCTAGGCAGATCTCTGGATCCAAACCTTGATTTGTTGGATAAAGCCAAATATGTGCTGTTAGGGTCTTTCAGATAATTTAACTAAAGGTTGTATTTGATAACATTGTAATGTAAATGTTTTAAATCTTGTAAATTTAAAAACATAAATTGGCCTTTTTGTACAGTGTTTTTTTTAATAAATGTGCCATTTTGTAAATTTTTTTTAAATAAGTTGGTCTATTTGTAAAGTTATATGATGGTTCAGTGTTTAAAACTGGTGAATATTTTAATGTTTAAAATTATGGTTTGACTTGATCTTTTATGTTTTAAGTAAGTTGAAAGCTACAAGCTTATTAAACATCTTATAAATTATACACCTACATGCTAGCTGGGTTAGGCTTATTTTTTTTAGTTATCTATCAGGCAATAGCATGTTTTCTAATGAGTTATTTTACTGTTCTCTAGTGCGTATAAAAAATGACCTGTTTGTTTAGATTATGGAACATTGTATTGTACATGGAATATTCAATAATTCAAAACTGGTATTCAAAGAAAAAAAATACATATAGACAAAATGAAGAAATTGTTTTGAATGAAAAACAAATATATCGAAGAACAAAATGCATATATTTTTACTTATACTTCAAAGTTTAATGCATTACATATAGGTTTACCGATATCCTAATTTCATGATTACATTGTACTTGCTTTGCCATTTTAACATGCTATAAACAAAATTCTTGTGCAACCAAACGTACTTGGTACATAAAAAAACAGTACAGCTGAACACAATGAGATCAACACCGAAAGCTATCCAAAAATATTTTCTTATTTACTACACAAATGATGCAGGAAAATGCAAACCTAAGAGCTTTTAATAAAATAGATTTTAGACCCCCCCACCTCATAGAACACCTATCTTTTGAAATAAATTAAACTATTGACCATGTATGTAATACCAATGACTAGTCTACTAGCTGTGAACATTTATTCTCAATATCTGACTGTACTTATTGTGATACTGTAAACAATACAAAAGCTTTAAACCACCCACATGTAAAGATTAAAAAGAGTGCAAAGTTCATCCAGATAAAATTCCTGCCAATTTTGGTCAAACCAGTAAGATATTTAAAATATAACTAAGTGAACTAGTGTTATCATTTCTGTTAAAATTATTTACAGAAAATTTGGGCTACATTTTATTTTTATTTGGTCACCTAAGATTAAATGATTCTCTAAACTAAAAAAAAAATTTACCTAACAGCTAAACATTCTAATATCCTGAACATTTCATTGGACACAAGTACACAAACATAAACAGGAAGCAGAAGTCAACATTTTCCAACAAAGATCTTTTTTTCACTTTTTGTTTATAACCACATGAAAGACGATGGAGAAAAAAAAAACCTCACACAATTTCCTTGGCCTTTGATTAGTATGGGGTATTGATTCAACTTCGGAGGATGCTTTAAATTTATGTAATTGAACTAAAAGAACATGTACAAAATTTGATCAAAAGTAAGAAAAATTTGGTCCAACTGGTATGATTTCTGTCATCAGTGAAATGCAAAAAACTTGTGCTAAAATCAATGACAGCTCAAAAAGCACCAAAACAAAATATTTAGTGCTGTTTGATACGTCAAGCAATAAATAACCGTGATCAGTGAATGATTTTGTAAAGAAAAAATTAACTGCCTTACAAAATAATGAAAAAAGTATTCAAAACTTTAAAACAAACTGTTCTTGAATTATATCAACCAGAAACCTGAAATGCGTAACTAATTAAATCCCAGCAAAATAAAAACAACAACACATAAACAGTTATGCTCAAGGCAAATGAAGAAAGCAGTGGGGAATAAAACAAGACTCATTGGGACAAATAAAATTCACTTAGTGTTACATTCATTTCTTCATTTTCTATCAGAACATAACTATTTTTAAGCTTGATATTGAAAGATAATAATTCAGTAGAAAGAAATGGAATTCATTTAACCATTTAAAAACAGAATATATCTAAATAACATACTTTTTAAAATCTGACAGTTCACAAACATGATTGCAAGTATAATAATTTAGATCCTGAAATAAATAAAAAAAATTACCAGTGACAATATTTTAAGAATTACTTTCTTTTTTACAATTACAGAATAATCATGGAACAATTCAATAAAATGTGATGCTATTCTGTGAATATACAAGTGAAATGCTAATGATATCAGCAGTTTTTTAAATTATTGATTATATGTGACAAGCATATCAAGCTAAATCACAAAGACTCTGAAGTAAATGTTCTATCTCCTGAAGCGCCATCGTAATTAATGTTTTCATCTAAATATAATGTTGCCAAAATTTCATTCAATTTTCGTTTAAATAATTACTTGATTATCTGCTGGTGAGTATGATATGAATAACAATCTTAGATTAAAGCATTGCAAAAGATTAAAATAAATGTGAATATAAACAGCAAAAATGAGATTAAAATGACAGGATTAAATTTGAAAAACAAAATTCAACTTGTGCTAGAAAACCCGGCACAAAAGTAACAATGAAAATATGAAGATGTTTCACAATAGGAAAAAAGGTTTAAGATGTATGTCAATACTAGCTGTACAATATAATAATGCAGGGATGTATAGCTGTAGATATAAGAACAATGATCACATGGTTATTGAATAGTTTAAACTTAATTCACACAGTTAACATTTGTAAAAGAAAAAAAAAATTAACACCAAATAAAAAGTGAGATAAAAAGAACTAACAAAACAAATTTTTACAGCAAATAAAATGTGAGAGTAAAAAAAATGGTTTTTTTAAATTAATTTTTTTATAGTCAGCCAGAGCAAAGCACATTCACATCACCTTAAGCCAACAAAAGCAATTGGTTTAAGTAGAAACAGATTCTTCATTCACATTCTTAACATGCCAGTTCTTGGAACTTTTAACACCAGGAGTTATCAAGATTTATCACTCAGTTATCAATTAGTAATCAGTGACAAAGACAGATAATCAGCTACAGTAAAACTTTTTTTTATTGAGTCATTTTTTGCTTGTCTTATTAGGCTATTATTTTTCAGTTCTCATAACAAATTTTTACCTTGTCTTTACATAATATTTTAAATGTCAAGTTATGGTTGATAATAGTACAAGATTATGATGCAAACATTTTTGTTGTATAAGAAGCTTATAGGGTCTAAACTTGTAAAAGATTGTAAAAGATTATAGCCTTACAATCAAGCAAATATTTTAAAGAGAATTTTACACAGAAAACGGCACAAAATATACATTTCTTTTGCTATAGTTTAAAAGTAACAAACCAAAGCTGTTTTTTTAGTTCTAAAGGGAAATAAGAATCAAGTTTAAGTATGTAAGTTAATGAAATTCAAAATAGTGTATTTTTATGGATGAAATTGTTGAAAAAAATATGGGACTTGTATATTTTTTAACCTGTACTCTATTAGAAAGTTTTGGAAAGATTGCGTTTAACATAGTCGAAGTAAAACATCTTCATTGAAAATATGTAAAGACAGAGTTAAGCTATCACTGCATAATTACTGATTCAAGTAACAGTCACACAAACTTGTATCTTACAGCAAATAAACAAAACCTGCCAAAACTTCCTATTTTTGGAAATTAAATTAAAAATCCAGTTTCAACTTTGTAGCAACCATTTAAAACTTCAATATTTTGACAGTAACACATGTAACTTGTTTAAAATCAGCTACATCTACATGTTGGTTGACCAATCCAAACAGCCAAAGCTGCAATTGTTATTATTCAAAATAGTACAACAAATTACTGAAACTAAATAAAATAATTATATTTTTCTGAAAAGTCATCCTAACACAGTGATGTCATTAAAAAGCTCACAAATGACGCATGAACAAAAGGTTGACTGGCATTTATTTTACATCATATAACATTCCATCATATAAAACAGCAAGAAATAAATTAGCTACAACATCCTTGGTTAGAGGCTTTGGACTTTTTATGCAAATCTACAGAGTTCGTAGGCTGTGGTCTGATTTCTAACTGGTCTTCTAGCTCACGCAACCGCGACACAGCCGAGACAAATGCTAGCTCAACGTTTACTGAGTCTTTTGCACTGGTTTCAAAGTATGGCAAGTTTCCGTTCCTACTGCACCAAGATTTAGCCACTTCCTCCGATACATCACGTTCAGGTATGTCCACCTTATTACCTATGATTACGAAAGGAAACGGCGACCCTTCCTGGATATCAGCGTAATACAGGAACTCCTTTTTCCACATTAGAAGATTTTCAAAACTTTTCCTATCATCCACAGCGTATGTCAACATGCAGATGTCTGCCCCTCGATAGAATGGAGTTCTTAAGGATTTAAATCTCTCTTGACCCGCTGTGTCCCAAATCTGCATTGTGTAGTTTTCTCCAGCCACCTGCACATAGAAGAGCACAATCATTTTTCTAAGTTTTTGTTAAAAACTATGTACTTAGTTTATGGTTATATTGGAAAATAGACTTGAAATGTACCTAATTTTCAATAAGAAAAAATGCAAAGAAATTTAATAAAAAACAGAACAAGTTAAACAATTGCAGGTGGGACTAACTATTTGATGGTTTGACACAATCAAACTTACTCAGACTGTTACATCTTTATTGAGGAATTCAATAAATCAAACTTACTGTTACATCTTTATTGAAGAATTCAACAAATCAAACTTACTGTTACATCTTTATTGAGGAATTCAACAAATCAAACTTACTGTTACATCTTTATTGAGGAATTCAACAAATCAAACTTACTGTTAAATCTTAATTGAGGAATTCAACAAATCAAACTTACTGTTACATCTTTATTGAGGAATTCAACAAATCAAACTTACTGTTAAATCTTAATTGAGGAATTCAACAAATCAAACTTACTGTTACATCTTTATTGAGGAATGCAACAAATCAAACTTACTGTTAAATCTTTATTGAGGAATTCAACAAATCAAACTTACTGTTACATCTTTATTGAGGAATTCAATAAATCAAACTTACTGTTACATCTTTATTGAGGAATTCAATAAATCAAACTTACTGTTACATCTTTATTGAGGAATTCAACAAATCAAACTTACTGTTACATCTTTATTGAGGAATTCAACAAATCAAACTTACTGTTACATCTTTATTGAGGAATTCCACTCCTATTGTGTGAAAAGACTGCGAGTCAAATTTGTTACTAACAAAGCGATTCATCAAAGAACTTTTGCCCACACCCCCATCACCAAGTAGTACCACCTTCAACAACTTAGACCGCCCTGACATGGTGCTTGAACAATTCAGTATCCTGAAATTAAAGGCAGACAGTTATGTTGCTTCCGAATACCAATTTTAGAACTAATGTTTATAGACAATCACAAACACACTAGCAAAAATAGTTGCACAAGTTAGGCAGAGCTTCTTTTTCTTCCTTCTTAATATGTGAAGCTTGCAGCCCATTCAACTAGTCCAAAAACTGCAGACAACTGAGCATACATCTACAACTCAACAGGCAATCCAAATAATTTTTCTCTGAGTGAGCATCACAAATTGCATTAAAAAGTTAAAACTAAATTTATTCTTTATTCTTACTGTGTGAGATTAAAAGTAAATGGTGGGGTTGATTAAGTTTGGAATGACAGCTTTTAACAAGGGGTCAAGATTTCTTAAAACATCTTTGATCGAGTTTTAGAAAACTGCCTGTCAGCAATAGCCTGATCCCTTAGTCACTTGTTGAGTCCAGAAAGTATACCCTCTATCAGCTGATTGATGTGTTGTAAAAATAGCTTGACAAGTGACACACCAGGTAAAAAAAAGATCTATTATTTATAGCACCTCCCTCAACCTTTATTTAAAGGATCAATATGTTTGGTTTCACTTTTTCAACATCATAAAAATATGATCACTAAAAACATTTTATAAGATAGTTTACACTTGATAAATATTAAATAATAAATAACTTATACTCTACTGTAAAAAAATTACTTTTTTCGGAGTTATAATAAAGTTAATTGCAAGAATCTGTTATATTGTTACACATTAATAAGCCATAAGGGCCATTAAAATATTCCATTACTTAGTGCAGCAATTAAAATACAAAGATTTGCAGCTAGCTCTAACCATAACACCAACCAACCCAGTAACATGAAGCCATGGCCTAGCAGAACAGAGCTAGATAGCTAACCCAAAAGTCTAAAGTTCCAATCCTGGTTCAAGCCAGTAGAATGTCCATGAGTCCACACAGCGCTGATGGGGACTTAACTCAAGTTAGGCAAAGTAAAGGTGGCTGGGCATAGTGCTGAGCACACTATCCCTTTATATGTCGAGGTCACAGAAATAGGTGAACTCTACTTCACTTGCCCCACGGACCGTCTGGTTTAAAAAAGGAACGTTACATCAAGTAACATATTAAATAATTTATTAACTAGTGCATTAGTTTGTACTAGTTGTAGTAATGTTGGTGCTGGCCAAATATGCAGGAATCTATATGGTGTTATCCAACAGATGTCTGTTATCAAGGAGGAAGTAAAAAATCCACTTCCTGTTTGTTCTAGAAAAAACCCCCAAATGCTTGAAAAATGATGTAATAGCTTTCTTGTTCTACCCATTATTGCATGCATTTAAACAGGTTACATCAGTTATGACGTCAAGTTACAACAGTTACAAAGTTGCAAGTATCCGTTAGAAAGATGCTTGCTAAGTAATCAATGGAGACTATTAATAATTTCAATAATAACATATTTAATAATAGTATTAAACATAAAAGATAATGGCTCAAATTTTATATCTTCTATTTGTGTTCTATTTATGTTGCACCAGTTAATTCCAAAATTATTTTATTCCACCTTATATGTTTAAAAATTCTTTTTTTACAAACTTTGTTTAAAATCTTTTATTTATTCTTTCTCCTACAACATAATAAAATTATTACTATTACTACTACATGCTCAGCAGATCTGCTTGTTTAAATGTTTTGTCATGTTTTCTCATTCTTCCACCTTGAAGACCATTACCAAGTTCTATTATCTCCTAAAGGTAGCATAGTTTTTTTATGCAGATCGATGATAAAACAATTCACATAAAGAAAAGCAAAAAAGCAAACAAGTTGTTTTTTTAAAAAGATTAATGCTAATTACTAAATTAGGATGAGTTCTCCGACAACATGAGGGAAAACACCATGCTTCTTGCTTTACATAATTAAACCTATGAATTTTAGTTTAATGAGATTTAATGCAAGACACCATGCTTCTTGCTTTACATAATTAAACCTATGAATTTAGTTTAATGAGATTTAATGCAAGACTATAAAGAAATGGATGATCTCCTTTTATGCCAAAACAACTAGTGACTTTTTGCATTGTTTATGGTATTTTACCCATTAAAATACTACTAATAGTCATTAAAACAAATATTTTCAATAAAAGTGTTTATTAGCAGAGTATACCACATAATGTTTTTTTCAATACATGTCCAAGCCTTGTCAGAAAAATCAACACAGACATAGTAAATGGTTAGAAATCTTTTTTAGCACATATTAAAATTAAAAATAACACAGCTACTGGGCAAAGTGCTGACCACACTATCTCTTCATATGCCGAGGTCATAGAAGCAAGCGAACTCTACTTCACTTGCCCTATAAACTGTCAGGTTTGGAAGGGAACTTTACTTACTACAGCTACTGAAAGTCGGTTTTATGCCAATTCAAAACACCAACCTACTACTGGTACCTTGAAAGCACAATGTAAATTAAGTTTATCAGCAGCAAGGTAAATCTATATTCTATATTAAATTATCTCATCTATAATCTATACATAGCCATTATCGCAGATGCTGTTTTTTTTTGCATGAAAAAAACTTTACAGTACTATACACTGTACTCTGTGTACACTATAGATACACTCACTGTACTCTGTGTACACTATAGATACACTCACTGTACTCTGTGTACACTATAGATACACTCACTGTACTCTGTGTACACTATAGATAAACTCACTGTACTGCATATGCTACAGACTGTATACATGATGTTAGGTACTAGTATCTAGATCTACATTTTTAGGTTAGGTAGGTGACTTGGGTGGTTCCAACTCAAAAGTTGAGTTATCTGACATTTATGTTAGGGTTGCAATACATGTGTACTGTCATGAACTTCATCATAAAGGTTTACTCACTAATGGTGCACAGTACACTGAGTTCAGACAATGGACTAAATCTAATGATTTTTAGATAGAATAGAGTAGGCATCCTCATTAATTTTGTCAGCTTTTCAGAGTTGTAGGCCTAGAACTCTGGCCCCAACGGATGATTGAGGATACCAATGTCCGATAATAGACTTTTCTGAAAATAGGTGTTAGGTTTTTAATTGTAAACTTGTCTAGTTTTATGGTTAGAAATTATTAGGATTAGGCATATGGAAGGACTAGGGCTCACGCGGGTTGGGGGATGATATTTAGAATCGTCCCTTTGAATCCCGGACAAATCATCCCCCAGCGTGGCCTCAACCAACCGGTGGCCCTTTTTAGCTCCAAAAACGCTGTGTTGTTTACGCATCGCGTGACATCATTGTGATGCCAGCCGCCAACCAAAATGCCAAGAAAGCGTGTGTTTGGTTGGTTGGCGGCAGATACAATGAAATCTCAAGTTTTTCCCTAAATTTTTACCATTAACCATTAGGACTATACTATCGAGATAGACTAGATCTAGTGCTAGTCAATCTAGTCTAGGTCTAGAATCTAGCTTAGTTAGCTGGACTAGCATCGGTCTCTGTTAAAAAAAACCCACCAATGAATCTGGATCTAACTAACTAATGTCGTTAACAAGTAAGTAGAATCACTAGACAATTAATTGAATAGTCAAAAGGTAGAACAGTGGGTAGATTCTAGATCGAAATATAGAATCTATGGTCTAGCCATTCGTCTTGAGTCTACAGTTGAATAGCCACTCTCCATTCTATTGTTTTTGTTATTCGGAAGTGGGTGTCATCTCCCTTACGACTAAGATTTAGATTCCAGAGAAAAATCCGTGTATAGATCTACCCCTTCCCTTCCTATGAGAAAAATATTAGAATTTAATTAAAATTTAAAGAAGTTATATTAACCTAAAAACTTACAATATTTTTAAAAAGTCAGTGACATACGACGTTATTGAGTGACACAGACTTCGAAATCCAAGTAAGCCACCATTATTGTTGACTGACGTCACTAATCATGTGACTTTAGTCATGCGACAAGCCATTTTCCAAGCTGAAAAGAAGTCATTGAAAAATTATTGCATACGGTTATGGGTTTGGTTTTTATTGACCAATTCACCAACCGATATTTTAAAAACGTTTTTATCAAATTATAGCGAAAAATATAGATCTAATAACACTTAGACTATATGTGCAGGCCTTTACTCCTAAACCCGGTTTAATTTAAATTACAAAATGTGATTTACACGAAAATTAAAACTAGTTTTCAATGCGCATTTCATTAAAAAAAACAACGTTTCAAGACAGCAAAACACACAATAACGCTGTTGCATTACATTTAGATTCTAAATGAAAAACAGAGATAAGTAGATCGCCTAGAAACAATTAAAGCATTAAAAAATATTAAAGTCTTTGTAGACATTAAGGGGTCATCCATAAATGACGTCACGCTTTTTTTGACGATTTTTACCTCCCCACTCCCCTCCGTCACACGTAGTCACAAAAAACCAGACCCCCCCCCTAAAATGACGTCACACCTCAGCCTACAACCCCCCCCCCCCCCTCAAAATTGCTATTGAATTTTTCTTGAAACATCGACATTTTTCCAAAATCTTGTCAGAACTCTGTCAACATAGAGTATTTTGATAAATTCCTATTACAATTCATTAAAACCGTTTTCTAAAACGCGAAAAAAACACTAAACCTCGTTTTCTAACATTGCTTTTTTATAATGCAAAAGTGTGACGTCACACACACTGAACCTCCCCCTCCCCCTCATCACACACTGTCACAACATTACGGACCCCCCCCCCCCCCCTCCCCCTACGAGTATGATGTCATTTATGGACGACCCCTAATTGTAAAAAAAACAACGCACACGAAACCACGAAAACGAGCCGGGTGTTTTAAAATTAAACTAGTCTAGATCTACCTTTTCATGAGGAGCAGAAAACATAATTCCATAAAATAAAATTCTTTATCTTGCGTTTAATTTTGTTATTGTGTTTTTTGGAGGCTAATTACTTTTTGTTTCTCTGTTGACATTTTAATAACATTTCCAGTATCTCTACATGAAAAATATAATCAAAAGTAATAGACCTATTAATGAATAGCTAGTTTCCTTAAATGAATATCCTAGATCTAGAAACAAATAATCGGCACGAGGTGTGTAGCACGGTGTGCTTTTAACTGCATTTTATTTTGTCCTGGGTTTTGGATAGGTTATTATTAATAAAGGGGAAGTAATCCAATTTGCAAACTTATTCAGTTACAAAAGCTACTTATTTCCCCTGGCATGTCAAAGATTTCAATGCTAAGTTTTGAATAGCTTATTTAAGTTTATATTCAGTGTGACACTTTTGAGACGGAGAGTGACAACAAATTGCCTATAGTTTTAGCAAACAATATATATAGTTGTTGATGGAGGGGGGCCGGGGTTGACACCTTGGGTGACCACCCCGAGTGTCCCCCGACCTAGTAACGCAACTGATGATAGGCATGTACTTTGTTAAGAATATACTAAAATAGATGAATAAAAAAAGTAACAATACGGAGTTATATAGACAGACATTTATATTATGTTACGGTCAAAGCCCGAAGTCGGCCAAAGCGCGCATTGGCCGGCTAATAAGTGCTTTGGCCGACTTCGGTCGGGCTTTAACCGTAACACACACACAAACACACACACACACACACACACACACACACACACATATATATATATATATATATATATATATATATATATATATATATATATATATATATATATATATATATATATATATATATATATATATATATATATGTATGTATACAAAAAACGATCTGATGTTGTTCATTTCAAACAAAACCACAAATAACGCTTGCAAAGCAACAGCCATTAGTAAAAAGCAAAGTAAGATGCGTTTATAGTGCTATCAATATGTACAGTGAGGACTAAATTTGGACCACGCACCTATCACATTTTCGCACATGTGAATTTAATCGGACACGCTTCAGTAACCATATAAGAAAACCCACTCACGTTGAGCTACCCAACCAGAACCATCCAAACCAGAAACAGTCAATAAAACCAGTCACGTTGAACCACCAAAACAGAACCACCCAAACCAGAAACAGTCAATAAAACCACTCACGTTGAACCACCCAACCAGAACCATCCAAACCAGAAACAGTCAATAAAACCAGTCACGTTGAACCACCCAATCAGAACCATCCAAACCAGAAACAGTCAATAAAACCAGTCACGTTGAACCACCCAACCAGAACCATCCAAACCAGAAACAGTCAATAAAACCAGTCACGTTGAACCACCCAACCAGAACCATCCAAACCAGAAACAGTCAATAAAACCAGTCACGTTGAACCACCCAAACAGAACCATCCAAACCAGAAACAGTCAATAAAACCAGTCACGTTGAACCACCCAACCAGAACCATCCAAACCAGAAACAGTCAATAAAACCAGTCTCGTTGAACCACCCAAACAGAACCATCCAAACCAGAAACAGTCAATAAAACCAGTCACGTTGAACCACCCAATCAGAACCATCCAAACCAGAAACAGTCAATAAAACCAGTCACGTTGAACCACCAAAACAGAACCACCCAATCAGTCAATAAAACCTGTCGCAAAGCATGTGAAAACCGTTCTACTAGTATAAAATTATCAGGATAAGCTCCCCATTATACGAACTGGTTAGGATAATACCACCGAACCAGAGAACCAGACAGATCCTGCTCCATATAACCAGTTCATTAGAACCAGCTTGAACCAGTGACTAGAACCAGTCCATGTATTCAAACCAACCTGCCATAACCAGCCCATGATAACCAGTGACTAGAACATGTTGACAAGAACCGCAGCAGAGGCGTAGCGAGGGGGGGGGGGCATATGTCCCCGGGCGCCGACCTTAGGGGGCGCCAAAATGGGTTGGAAAAAGTAATCGAAAGTTTGAGGGGGGGGGGGATGCAATTCGAAAGTTTGAGGGGAGGGGATGCAAATCAAAAGTTTGAGGGGTGGGGGGTGGGGTGCAAATCAAAAGTTTGAGGGGGGGGGCGTGCAAATCGAAAGTTTGTCCCCGGGAAGACTCGCTACGCCTCTGAACCGCAGAGAGCCTATAGTAACCAGTTGATCAGACAGCTGCAACCAGCCGGCCTGTTACGTAACATACAGCCCGGGGCTATGTGTGTTTGTATGGTGTGTGTGTGTGTGTTACTTCCTTCTAGGATGGGGATCAGAGATAGGGATAGGGAATGAAAGGGATCTTGACACAAGGGGAGGGAATCAAAGTTTCGGGATATTTTGCCCGATATTTATATTTATTGATCTGGATTAGTGGAAAAAAAAAAATATTCATTTAGGCACATTGTGACCCAGCGGTTTTTGAGAGGCTTTTCAACATCATTAGAAGCCGCCAAAACCGCACGAACCCTGTAGACAGCAGACGTTCATTAGCCCACAGGATTGTCTCGCAGAAGTCACTTAGTGCTCAGCAAAAGATACAGTTTATTTTGGCACAATATAGCCAGATTTCTATGAATTGAGTTCGTTAGTCATAATTTAGCCGGTACCGTTTTTCGAAGGAAATGAAATTATATTGCAATTGTTGTTTGGTGTAAAAAAAACAAAAAAACCCTCTCATTCCATTGACCTTTACCGTAAAATGTTAAACACGTAATGAGTCAGTCAATGCGACGTGGTGGCAACCCACGACCTCAAATGGTAGAAAAGCGTAAGGGTTGATTCCGGCGCGGGGCACGCTGGGTAAAAAAAATGATTAAAACGTTGACAAGATCTCGACTATTACCTGCTGTTGGCATACAGCTAAACCAAACTCGAACTTTTTTTTTGGCCGCTTTCCACCCACCCACCACCACCCCCTCTCCTGCTACTAGCCCTGCATCATGGCGGCCAGGCGAACCGGTGATAACGCAAAATGGGCACACGCTCAATCAGACCTCGACAACACAACAGCTGAGTGAGGGAGAGATACGGTGTCAGCGTACACGCGAAGCCAGTTTTTTTTTTAATCCGTACAAAAATCGTTTCGCTCTATTTACATTTATAATAATCTTAATTAAAGCGATTTTTTAAATTATTGAAATATTTGTGTTAATTAAAAGCGTACTGTTGGTAAATATAGCTAAACATGTGGAAATATATACACTGTGTGTTTGAGAATTATATCCAGGAAAGATGATTTAGTGTTATTCAATCCATCATTCATTATGGATAAGTGTGGATTATTTCTGAGCTGCCGTAATCGTTCGCCAGTGGATCTTAATGTGGGAAGAATGGAGCAGGTTTTCTCGTGTGTCCGCGTGTGTGTTTACAGTGTGGTGTTGTGTGTGCTCGTGTCGACGGCGCGTGCTGTGACCACGGACAGCGCAGGTTTGGTCACGCCTCTGACCCAGTACGATTCGATCCCGGGTCTGAGGCCGGACAACGACGAGGAGGTGAAGCTGGCGTACCCGGACTACGACCGGTTGTCCACGGACAGACCGGATGTGGCTCATGTGTTGGGTGAGTTGATGTGTTGCTAGGTAACGAGCGTCATCGACTGGCGTGCTCGACACGCCAGCGAACACAGCAACACAGCTGTGTCGTATGTAAACATAAATACAGTGAGGACAGGATTCGGCCTAACCTTTCTATAGAGCTTAGGGATTGTGTAGAGTGTAGATATTGTATGACACAGGGGGTGGGGGATGGGGGTTAAGGAACCTGAGTGAAGGTGGGGATGGGAGTAAGGAACCTGGTCCATCCAATGTTTCTGCCAGACTTTTTTCTCCGGGGTGGCACTTGAAATTTTCGGGGGGGGGGGGGGGGGCGTTATGTTGTGTTGTATGAGGTTAGGGGGGTATAGAGCAATATCACATAACACTATATTTAAAACTCTTTATTTCTATTTTCTCAAAATTTCTGCTGTTTAGAATAGTTAAAGGAATAGGTCGTCACAGAATGTTATCCGTTTATCTTGATCTATATATAGATCTAACATATATCACTTTGCGTTGATTTTGTTTGTCAAATGAAATCATAACACACATGTTCTCGAAATTATTTGACTCCCATAATTTATTTTTAAATCCAACCTTTTTTTAGGGTATCGAAATGCATAGTTAATCTTTGGGGTGAGGAAATGGTTTTTCAGAAATGCTACACATGCAGGGCTGTAGTTTATGGGCATGTTACATAACGTTAAAAGGGTACAAAATGTTTTTTTGTGTGTTGTGTATGCTATCCCAAATAAATGGGGGAAAAACACCATTCGACGTGTTGTAAATACATAAACTGGTGTGCTAATTGAAAAGGTTAAAGTTCAAGGTTGGGAGTGAGTAAGATAAACGAGGTTTGATTTTTGAAAAGTCAGGGTTGTTTAGAGGGGCCACTGCGATAGTTGAACTCAGTGTTTGGTTTAAGGTTACGTTAAATGTTTAGTTGCAGTGGTTATTTTTTTTTATGCTGCTGTCGTTCAGTGTGTTGTTGTCAGTGTCAGTTTGTGACAACTGGTGAGTGTAAGTAGAGGTCAAAGTGTAAATGTGAGTTGTAGAGGTCAAAGTGTAAATGTGAGTTGTAGAGGTCAAAATGTAAATGTGAGTTGTAGAGGTCAAAGTGTAAATGTGAGTTGTAGAGGTCAAAGTGTAAATGTGAGTTGTAGAGGTCAAAGTGTAAATGTGAGTTGTAGACGTCAAAGCTTAAATGTTGTTATGTGCTGTAAGGGCTACATTGTTGTTGTTGCTGTGTATTTTAAGGGCGTTGTTTCAGTCAATACACTTCACTCGACTTGTCCAGTGAAAGTACCATTATGAACTTGTTACAGTTAATAACTGTTGTTACCTGTGATCACGGTAGACCTATTATAAATAGCCAGCCTTTAATTTAACCCTAAAAAGAGCAACATCTGTCAATTAACTCCATATGTCACCAACCAGCATGTGCACCCCCCCCCCCCTACCCACGTGACAAGCTGTCACTTCATTAACCCACTCCAACCAAAGATCTCTCTTATTTTTTGCTGTTCAAATCTCCTTCGTTAGTTTTAGATTCCACTGCCTTTGAAAAATCAAATGAACAACGAAATAAGTAAAGAGATAAGATCTTGATGCTTGACCATATCTTTTTCTATACATTGTCTTGTGGTTTAAACATTTATTTTTTCTCTGGAAAGTAGCGCTGTATCGTCCACGAATTAAATTTTTGTGCCATTCTTATTCATTGATAGAGGTTACTAATTATATGTTATATGTGGACACTTTCTCAGACAATGTCAATTACATTATGTCAGACTATGAAGTGACATTATGTCAAACTTTGGCGGTGTCATTAGGTGACATTAAGCCAGACCATGTCAGAGCCAATATGTCAGACCATGTCAGAGCCAATATGTCAGACCATGTCAGTGCCAACATGTCAGTGCCAATTTGTCAGACCATGTCAGTGCCAACATGTCAGACCATGTCAGTGCCAACATGTCAGACTATCCCACCCGCCAGCAGTCCCGAATAACAATCACACGCCAATACGTCTACACACACACACTAGATGTGTGATTATGCTTGTGACGTCAACATATACATTTTGTATGTGCGTCTGTATGTCTGTGACGTGAACACATACACTTGTTATGTGCTGTTACTTGTGCTAGTATTTTTTAAACGATAACATGCATTCAATGATTGATTTTTAACATGCGTTCTTAGAGTCCCATCTATAATTACTGTAACTTCACTTTACAAAAATCTGTCAATGTAATGTTGGTAAGTAAAATATTCGACGGAAACGCTGTTACCGTATTTATCATAAAAAGAGACAAGGCGTCATAGTTTTAAAAGCGACCATAAGTAAGTAAAGTTCCCTTTCAAACCTGACGGTCTATGCGGCAAGTGAAGTAGAGTTCACTTGTTTCTGTGACCTCGGAATATGAAGGGATAGTGTGGTCGGCACTATGCCCAGCCGCCTTTACTTACACTCACGTGAGTTAGGTACCCATTACAGTTGGGTGGACTCAGGGACGGTCTACTGACTTGAATTCGAACTCGAGACTTACAGCTCTCTACCGCTAGACCACTCCGAAAGTGACCCATACATCCTGTTAACTTTTTCACAGACCGCTAAAACAAATGTTCTAACCACTATACTACATATCGTCCCTTTTGTCGGCGGCCCTGCGCTGATGTATGCAACATGTTACAGATTAGCACAGCCGCTCGCCCGGCGAGGGTTTTAAAGTCCCACCAAAAGAAAATCAATCCCCGACGACGTGACGTCAAAAGTTTATAAAAAAAGTTTATTTGTCCCACTTGAAGGCTGGTATCGGTTACAAAGTGCTAAGTGCATTCACATTGAGGGAAGAGTTTGTCGGTAACTCCTACAGATTCTTGCCACTAACTCCTACAGATTCTTACCACTAACTCCGACATATGCCTGCCACTAACTCCGACATATGCCTACTACTAACTCCTACAGATTCCTACCACTAACTCCTACAGATTCCTACCACTAACTCCGACATATGCCTGCCACTAACTCCGACATATGCCTACTACTAACTCCTACAGATTCCTGAACTAACTCCGACAGATACCCATTTGCCGATAAAACGACACACGATAACCATTGGACCACTCACCTGAAAGAATCAAGTTTCTGGCGTTAACGGAATCTGTCATCAAGTTTCTGGCATTAACGGAATCTGTCATCAAGTTTCTGGCATTAACGGAATCTGTCATCAAGTTTCTGGCATTAACGGAATCTGTCATCAAGTTTCTGGCATTAACGGAATCTGTCATCAAGTTTCTGGCATTAACGGAATTTGTCGTTCCAACATGGTTTCAGCCAAAAGCAGAAAATTGTACTAAAGTCCAAAGTACTGAAGAGGTTTTAAATAGATGTAAGACTAATTAATTTCTAGTTTAAAAATCATTAAAATTAACAATATGATTGTACAGGTCCATATGACTGTGCACGTCCATATGACTATGTATTCGTCCATATGACTGTACGACCATATGACTGTGTATACGTCCATCTGTATACATCCGCATAACTGTATATGTCCATATGACTGTACATTCATGTGACTGTATACGTCCATGTGTGCACTTGCATATGACTGTATATGACCATTTGACTGTGTATACGTCCAAATATCCACGTGCATATATTTGTTGACACGTGCATATAACTGTGTGCACATGAGTATAACTGTGTGCACGTGAATATAACCGTGTGCACGTGAGTATAACTGTGTGCACGTGAGTATAACTGTGTGCACGTGAGTATTACTGTGTGCATGTGAGTACCGTGTGCACGTGCATATAACTGTGTGCACGTGAGTATAACTGTGTGCACGTGAGTATAACTGTGCACGTGCATATAACACCGCCGTCTACACACTAGCCCAACAGTTTCCAGACAAACGAAGCCGCCGGGACTCTCTGACGTTCCGTTTAATTATGCATGGACTTAATTAGGGTCTATTGTTTATCCACCGTGTCTCGTCCATAAGCCTTGGGGCGTGGGCGTTGGATCAACTCCCATGGAATAAAACCCCACATTGCAACATGCTTTGATTGTATCATTTTAAAAGTTGTAAAAGTTGAACTATTGATGACTTACACGAGTGATTGCTATCATTATACGTTTAAAATCAAGCTCACAGGAACAAACATAGTAACTGGCTAAACTAGATGTGTATTATTAATGCAGGGGTCGCCAAACTACGGCCCGCTGGCCAGATACGCCCGCGAGGCCCTCCCATCCGGCTCGTGGAGATCTTTCCAGAGGCGTAGCGAGGGGGGGGGGGGCGGGGGGTACGGATCGCACCTGTGTGACACCATTTAAGGGGGTGCCACCAAGGCAAAAAATAGCAAAATATATAGAGAAAAATTTGAAGGGGGGGGGGGGGGGTGTAAATCGAATGAAAGTTTGAGGGGGGGGGGGGTGTGCAATGCAAATCGAAAGTTTGTGGAGGGGGGGGGGTGCAAATCGAAATTTGAAAGTTTGTCCCCGGGAAGGGTCGCTACGCCTCTGGGGGGGTGACACCATCAAGTGCCGCTACGGGTGACACCCGGCCTCGCTACGCCACTGGATCTTTCTGTTTACGTAAAAAAATCAGAAAATTTACGTGTATCCTGCCAAGATCAGCTGTCGCTTAAGCGGACGTTTTTAATAATTAATTTAACAGGAGACTTGATTTATCCACTTGTCTTGGTAAATAGGGACTTTTAACAAAATTATTATTTTTTTTTAATTATCTCTTGACACGTCAAGACATAAAAAAAAAATATTTCGACAGCATCGTTTTGATCACGCAACACAACGACATGGAGAATTGTAATTAGCATAAAAATGGTTCGCCAGTCGTCATATGGCCGAACGTTCCATTACAATCAGGTGGACAGAATGCGTGAGAGACCTCGGGAAAACAACTCGTGTTAATAGAATTGATGCTGTTATGGATATTATAATACCTAATGGCGAGCCCATTTTCTAGTCTTTAATGCTAAATGTATTCGCTG